CGTACGCCAAGGCTTCCAACAGGGGGACCGCGTCGCCATCCTGCACGAGAGCCGCCCTTTGACGAGACGGGACCGTTCCAACCTCGACAAGACCCGCGTCGTCGCTTCGGACGATCGCAGGCGCCTCGACCTGCATGGTGCCACCGCCCACGGCGCTTTTCTGCGATGCGATTCTTGTATTTTTTAGCTTGCACGCACGGGTCACTCGCAGCCCGGCATGCCGGCGAGGTTGACGGGGCGGTGTTGAAGGTCGCCGAGCGCCGCAATAGCCAAAGGTCGACGTATCCTGAGCTCGCATGGGGCCCGCAGAGAAGCTGTGTTCGCAAGCTTCCGTTTTTTTCACGGCAAACTTACGCGTGAGCCTGGCTATGGTGAACCCCCCCGCTCACCGGAGCGGGAGGCGACTCGGTTCGGGGAATAACCAGGAGGAGCCCAACGTTCTGCCCCGGACAGCGTGCTGCACGGCGATCGACAGCATGCCCCACCACCGTCGTGCCCAGGCACTCGAGGCCGCCGCGCGCAAGGCTGGCGGCGCGCGGAGGGCCCGGACGCGAACTAGCTGCCAGCTCGTGCGCATCTGCATTCCAGCGGCCTCCGGCCTCCGCATGTTTGCGGTGTTCGGCGGTGCGCAGAGCCACGCCGGGGGTGAAAGCAACCCGCGGATGGGGCACCAGGGCTAACGAGCGTGGCGTCGCAGCACAGCGTCAGACCTTGGGGCGAGGCGCCGTAAACGACAAGGTCAGGTCGCCGGCCATCAGTTGACGGCACACCTGGTACCGACGTGTGCGCCAGCCATTGTTGCGGAACCACGTGGCCTCGCGGCCAAGCTCGCTCGACCAACTTCGCGCGTGTTGCCACAAGCCGGTGCGCGTGCATGCCAGTCCCACGGCTTTCCGCAGTGAGGAACGCGGCGGCCCGGCGTTGGTGGAGTGCTCTTTCCATCCGGATCGCTCGCCGTTGCCAGTAAGGTTGCCCCTGGCCAGCAGCTCCACAGCGGGGCCGAGCGACGGCCCTTCCCTGGACGAAGGGCCCAGTATGTTGGTGCCCTAAGCCGGAACCGCCGCACAGCCATAGTGCCACGGTAGGATTGTAGAATCAACGCGGCCGTGCAGGCATAAAAAATCCGTTGCTTGGTCAGCACGATTCGCTCGTTGCCGCGAGTGCTTCTCTGCGGCCCGATGAGCGCCTCGCTGCGTTCCTGGACGACCTCTACGTCGTCACCGTACCGGAGCGCGCAGCGCCACTGCTTCGCGTCGTCACCCAGGAGGTCGAGCGAGGCGCCGGGGTCGAGGCAAACCTCGGCAAGACGCGAGTCTACAACGCCGCCGGCGGGGACGCCCCACCCGGCATCGCAGCCTTGGGCCCACACGTCTGGTGTGGCAACCTGCCCCTGGCGCAGCGTGGCTTCGTAGCTCTTGGCGTGCCCATCGGTCACCCCGACTTCGTTAAAGCTCAGGCCGCCGACCGCCTTGAAGCTGAGACCGATCTGCTCAGCAAGCTCCGGCACCTCCCCGATCTTCAGAGCGCCTGGCTCTTGCTCGCTTTCTGCGCCGCGCCTCGAGCGCAGCATCTGATCCGAAATGTCCCTCCTGCAGACATCCTTCCGTATGCTCGCGCTCATGATGCTGCAGTCTGGGCCGTCGTTGCCTCTTTGCTGGGCGACCCGGGGCCCAGCGACGGCGACGACTGGGCAGCTGCGCGCCAGGTCGCTTTTCTGCCGCCGAGCCTCGGGGGGCTCGGCCTCTTCGCGGCTGAGCGGGTGTCGCCGGCTGCTTACTGGGCGGCGTGGGCAGATGCACTCCCGGTATTGCACCAACGATACCCCGACGCAGCAGACAGGCTCGTGCGCGAACTCGAGGGCGAGCCGGTCTCGCCGTGCCTGCGTGCCGTCGCCGACGCAGCACGCCAGCTCACTGGCGTTGGCTGGGCGCGTAGACCGGACTGGGCTGCCTGCGTTCGCCAGGGCCCGGAGGGCCCGGCTGGCAGCGACAAGCGGCTCTCGCACTTCACACTTCCTTTCGAGACCGCGACTTGCTCCCAGCCTTGACTCCTTCAGCTCGTGCCCTCCTTCACTCCCAGTCCGGTCCGCATGCGGGAATGTGGCTGGCGGCCATCCCTTCTGATGCGGCGACTACACTCACGCCCGACCTCATGCACCTCGCGCTGAGGCGTCGCCTGCGCCTGCGCTTGCCCATAACAGGCCGGCACTGCGGCGCGGAAGGCCGCCATGGCTGTGGAGCTGAAGTCGATGCCTACGGGGACCATCACCTCGCCTGCCCCCGGACCGGCTTGTTGCCAAGACGCGGGTTCGTTGTTGAGCGAGCCTGGGTGCAGGTCGCTCGCGAGGCTGTTGGCCCGGAAGGTCGGGTTGTCCCGCAGCAGTGGCTTGCGCGCACTACTGCGCCGCAAGTCCACGCCGACGATCGTCGCCGCCTCGACTTCGTTGTCTACGGAGCGACGACTAATGGCGAGGCCTTGTGCTGCGACGCCACGCTGGTGTCCCCACTTACCCGTGCTGGTCGCCCCGTCTCGGGTGCTGACGCGCGGGCGGGAGTCGCCCTTGCTGCGGCGCGACGACGCAAACTCGCGCGCTACCCGGAGCTCACCCGTGGCGGGCCTCAACGGCTCGTTGTCCTCGCTGCTGAAGTCGGGGGGCGCTGGAGCGACGAGTGTCAGCAGTTCCTCCGTACTTTGCTCCGGCTCCGGGTCCAACGAGCCCTGCCGCCGTTGCGAGCCTCCGCAGCCCAAGGCTGGGCACGCCGCTGGTGGAGTGTGCTGTCGGTAGCCCTGCAGCGAGCCGTCGCCAGCTTTGCGCTTGGAGTCTGGTCCATGCCGCCGCTGCCTGGAGCGCCTGACGTGCTTCCACTTGGCGACGTGCTTGATCTTGCGGATGCGAGCGCCCCCAGTCGGCTGCCGCTCCGATTGTGCAACGCACTAGGGACCGAGGGGTAGTTTAGACGGCGTTGGAACAGTTCGAGCAGACGCAAAAAGGCACGGAAACAAAAAAAAAAAAAAACTTAAGCGGTTTTGCTATTTTGGCGATGTTTCGCGAGGCTTCGATTTTTTTTTTTCACTTCGGGAGGTTTGGAAACTCTACAAGCGAAGCTTCGGGAAATGTTGCATACGTGCTTGAGAAAATCTCGGTTTCTGGGATTCCACATACGGGGTCGCAAGAGCCAGGCCGTTCTGGCTTCGCTTGCCTCCCCTGTACCGTTTCTTTCATGTTGATCACTTCCGCAAGAAAGCGGTCATGCAATCCCAGACGGGTGTGTGGAAATCCCAAAGGATCGTGATTTGTTCCTACAGCTTGTTTTGCGAGAAAGCGGCTTGCGTTTCAGGAGCTGATCTTTCATGCGGGGATTCTTGCCCGCGTGCAGACACCGTTGTGTAGACGTCTGGAAGCACGGGATTAGGCCCGTGGGCCCACGAGAAACAAAATTCGCGATCCCCACCGCCGGGGCGGCCCGCAATTTTGGGGTCGAGGTTGGTGGCGGCTGGGGCTTTGAGCCCGCAACCTTCCCGAGGCTCTTCGTGCGAGCGCGAGGTGCGCATGCGCACGCACTCGTTCGCTCGGGTGTGCATGCGGCCTATGTGTCTCGTTGGACTAGCATCATCGCCGTCGCGGCACAGAGGGCCCTGGCCAGCTGTTTGCTCGAGCTCCCCCTCGACACCGTCGCCAGCCGGCTGTGTGCATGATGTCCTACATGAGAAACGCGGGCTGCACACCCCTGCCCCAAGCCGACTTCCGGCGAGGACGTACGGGAGGATGTTTGCCAGTAAGCAGTCTCGCAGGCACACGATTGGGCCCACGAATGATAGAGTTCGCGACCCCGCAATTGGGGCCGCCGTGCGGCCCTCAATATTAGGTTTTCGAAATTTGAAGTTGTGTTACGGCAAGCTGCTAGACCCTCTGGATGCAACGGCAGAGAGAGAGAGAGAGCCACGAGTGCGCGGACTCGCGCTAGGATCGAACATGCCTGCCGCCTGCCTGCCCTTGCCGCTTGCGCCTCGTCGCTGGGCTGCTCGGCGACCACCGGTCCGCGTGCGCTACCTCCGGCGTGCTTGCCACCCGAGCCCTCCCGCTTCAACCTGCTGTGGCTGGTGCGCTCGTTTATATAGTTTTGGGCTTTGGACGTCAAGACCGGCCGCTAGGTGTCGACGTTCACGGGCAGGTTGGTTTGGGGCGGTTTGCAGCATTTTGGAGCGGAGCCACCCCTGTTGCTGATGTCGATAGTGGAAAAGCATGAGTCGCCGGTGCAGGTCCACTGTTTTCAACATCTCCTGACGGGTAGGTATGAGCGGGCCGATAACTTCACAGTTGGCAATCAAATCAGCAAGCCAAACTCATGACTGTAAACAGGCTCACCGTGCAAGGCGAAAGAAGACCGGGACCTTAGTTGCCTAGGTTTCCCCGTCCGCAGCACCCTTCCATTACCTTTCCATCAGCGATGCATTGACCAACTGTGTATGGAAGCGCTTCCGCTCCCTGCCTGTAGATGTTTCACATGGTAGGCAATGACTTGCTGATTCTTACTGTTTAATTATGGGCAGCACCAGCTACCGGAGAACACTCGTTGGCCAGTGTAGCCATAGCATGCCCGCCGTCTTGAGTGTGACCACAAAGTGCATGCGAAGACTCTTGTCGGAACAAAAGGCTTCGATTTATGTGCAGCGGGTGTCGTGGGATCACTCGTTGATTGCAGTTGAAAGTGCTGGCTGCAGGAGCTGGTCGGCATCGTGCAGTTGTTTGCCAAGCGTCTTCGGGCAAGGACGGCCCGGATTGCAGCATGTGCATCTTTAATTTGGCATTGTGGCCCTTGTGGCGCCGCTGCGGCCAGGATGATGGCGGCAAACGGGCCATTGACGCAGCAGCCCTGTCTATAACATGCATGAGTTGGGCAGCAAAAGCCGAGCAATAGCCGAGCAATTCCATCGCTTCGTTTCGGCTCATACAGCGCGGATGGATCGTTACATCCGAAACGCTGGAGCGTGATTGCGGAATGGCAGCTTCGAGCCAGGCTGGATGGAGCTTTGACGAGTCCGTTTGCGCAAGCGCCAACCTAAAGAAGGCGTCCAAAATCGCTGGGGCTGTTGCTACAGGCGGAATCGCACTCGGAAGCTTGGACAGGAGACAGACACGGCCTGCAGTCGGAAGTCGGAAGACCACACATGGCTTTTTCATGAGGCTTCTACTGGTTCGCAAAGCCGTGCTTCGAAGCTCTGCTGATTCCGACATCTGCTCCTCGAAAAATGTGTCTTGGTCAGATGAAGAGTGCATTCACAACTGTGCGCCTGGGGCTCTCTGGGCTCTCTGACTCAGGTATAGCGAGCAGGATTTTATGGCAAGTGCAGAGTTTGCTGGTTCTAGACCCGGTTGGGTTTACAAGCTGGACCACAGAGGCAGCCGCACAGATCAGGCAGCACATACGCAGATGTTCATTTCCACATCGAAGACGACCTCAGGCCTTGGCTACTACCAGGACTTGCCGACAGGCAGTGTCACGAAATGATCTGCCGGCAGTGAGGCTGTTTCTTGAGTTGCGCCCGGAGCATCTTGTTGTACAGCACCGCTGACGGCTGGTTTGCACGACTTGCACCCGAAAAGAGCGGCCAATGGCACCATGCCTGTGCTTTGTGTGTGCGCGCGCGTGCGCACGTGTCTCTGCGCATGTTTGTGATAGTGTGTGTGTGTGTGTGTGTGTGCGGGTGTGTGTGTGTGTGTGTGTGTGTGTGTGCGCGCGTGCTGTATATGTACGTGGGTTTGCATGTCTGTACTTTTTCTGTCTGTTATTGTACGCTGTCTTCTTTCATCCATCTATCCGTCGATGCCTTTATGCATCCGCCCGTGGACAGATCCAGCCATCCGGCCAGCCAGATGCCAGCCATCTATCTCGATCTCTATCGAATAAGTCTATCTATCTATCTATCTATCTATCTCTGCCACAATGCGGCATCATTCTGCTTTGCAGTGTTTTGTTGGAGCGAGTAAGATGCCGCTTGAGGATGGTAGTCGTAAGTGGAAATTGGTATGGGTTCTCTGCGGCTGAGGCCAAACTCCCTGTATGAACCCCTGTGTGAGATGACTTGGCGGGCCTTGGGCTTGGTTTTTTCCTTGAGTGCAGTCGCTGTTGCGCTTTGCGATTTGCAGATCACGGGACATGTGCTTCATGCCGTGCTGAACGTCGACGAATCTTTGGACGAGAACGGGTTGCCCGTCCCGAAGGACGACCCTGCCCTGCTGTGTTCGGCTTGGCGATTCTTTGCGAGGTTTCAACCATCCATGCCACGCAGACATGGAGCGCAAGCCGTCTTTGCAGGAGCCGCAAGGCCAGGTCAAAATGCTGGTGCAAACGAACATGGAGATTCTTGGCTGCATGCTTTTGCATGGGAGCGACTTTTTGGAAGCTTGTTGTGGTTGTGGGTCCTGAAACAGGCTGTGTGTGTGTGTAAGCAGTCTCTCGCAACTTTCCTAGTCACCGCTGCAAGAGTACCAGGGCAGGTGGTGAGAAGACGATGTGCAGGGGACGGTGAAGAGAGGGGCCCCTGTTCTATGTAAATGTAAATGTGCATGCATGAGATATAATGACGTGTTCCTTTTTCCTAGGAGCATCATCTTGTTTTCAGATTCCCACATGTGGTTCCGTTGCATCATTCCTTGCATCTCGTGTGTATGAGCGGACCCTGGTCCCTGGGAGTGAGTGTGCGTGTGTGTGTGTGTGTGTGTGTGTGTGTGTGTAAGCCTCGATTCTAAGCTAGAGGTCTTTGGTGCATCCAGTACTGCATCGTTCTTTTTGTCAGCAGGGGGGCAGTGAGCCTTTTATCATCCACTGCCCAACGAAGACGGTGATAGAAGTGCTGTGAAGCAATCTGGGACGCCAGATTGTGTACCTGCATTGAAATGGCACGGGGGCCAAGCCATAAACCCCTTTCCGAGCTGTGCTTGAGTGCATTAGAGTGACAGTTTCATGCCTGCAGGCGTTGACTAGGATTCAGGTTATCGTCGACTATAGCAACATATTATGACAAAACTGGAAGTGATTGGTTGTGTCCTGATGGACCCCAAACTCCGTGTGTGGCCTTGTCGCCAACGGCAACAACCGCTCCTGCGGACTGCCAGGGTACGTTTCTTGCGGCCCAAGATGGTAACAGAACAGGCCGTACTCCTTCGGGACAGGTCAATGGTGCAAAGGCATTTATAAAGAGTGGCCCTTTTTCGTGTCAGGTGATGGGTCTAAGTGCTCCTAGTGAGCAACCGGAAAGACAGTGCCCCGATTGGTCAGGTGATGGGCTTGTGTGGCCCGAAGGTCCTAAAGTGGCTCTAGTAGCCTGGAGTACACAAAGAAGCAACGGTAACCAAAGATGTTTGGCCGTGGTAGCATCTTGGCTTGATTTACGTTGCTTTGAGTGTGGTGCAGAGAGAAGAAGTCGTGTGTACTGCCTTCAGGAACTAAGGGCCGCTTGTCTTCTCAGTCTGTCAGCCGAGCTATTGTCATCTCCTCTCGCTCTCTCTTCCCTCTTTCCTCTTTCTGGTCGTCTGTCAGCCGAGCTATCGTCTTCTTTTCTCGCTTTCTCTCCTTTTCTCCGACGACGACGATGACGATGATGACCATACTAGGGAACGACAACAAAGCGAGCCTCAGGACGATTGGACGCAGGACTCAGGACTTTCCCCTCACTGAGGGGTGTGTGTGTGTAAGCCTCGATTCTAAGCTAGAGGTCTTTGGTGCATCCAGTACTGCATCGTTCTTTTTGTCAGCAGGGGGGCAGTGAGCCTTCTATCATCCACTGCCCAACGAAGACGGTGATAGAAGTGCTGTGAAGCAATCTGGGACGCCAGATTGTGTACCTGCATTGAAATGGCACGGGGGCCAAGCCATAAACCCCTTTCCGAGCTGTGCTTGAGTGCATTAGAGTGACAGTTTCATGCCTGCAGGCGTTGACTAGGATTCAGGTTATCGTCGACTATAGCAACATATTATGACAAAACTGGAAGTGATTGGTTGTGTCCTGATGGACCCCAAACTCCGTGTGTGTGTGTGTGTGTGTGTGTGTGTGTGTGTTTGTGTGATTGTGAGGGTGTGTGTGAAGCGCGAGCGTGCTTTCGTGCTCGACGCGTTGTCTCAACACTGCGTGCAGATCCCTGCAATAAATGAATGGATGCGGATCACAGCATTCGGGCTTGAAAAAGGTCCTGGCCGGCCCGCCACACCAAAGTTCATATCAAGAGCTGGCTTTTGTGACAAGCACTTGCGCAACACGGCCTATTTCTGAGATGTGAAGGTTGTGGCAAGGCAGGCGCGACAAAAAAAAACAACGGCAGAGCTAGCGTGTGTGTGTGTGTGTGTGTGTGTGTGTGTGTGTATATCTATAAATATATACAGGTATATCCATACTACATGCACTACGTACGTATGTTTGTATGTATGCATGTATGCATTTAATTATGTATGTATGTATGTATGTAATGACGTGTTTCATTGCCCATTTGTCTAACTATCCATCCATTCATTGACCTTTAGACACAGCAGACATGGACACAGACATTGGCCTCGACTTCCTCATTTACACATCTACACCTGGACACCCATGCAAACAACATGCAAATACAGGTGCACGCCTTGGCCAGTGGACATACTGGCACGCTGAGCCTCCGGCCGTTGAAGTTCCCCTCTCTGCAACCCACGTCATGGGCAGCTTTGCCATGTGTGTCTTCCACAGTCGCGCCAACGTCCCCGCCAAGTCGGCAAATGCATTCGCTATCGTTGAGTGCTGCGTCCTTATTGCTGAATGGCTCTCGCTGTTTTCTATGCTCCAATTGCAAATGGAGCAAGGAGAGAGTCTTAAGCTTTTCACGACATGCAAGTCTTTCCTGTCAGGGCATCCCCCCAAGTCCTTCTCTTGTTCACCAAGGTTGAGCCGCAAACTGAACCTAATGCGCGCGGTTCTTAGAGTGTATTCTGGCGCAGTGTCTCATGCAATTCACAACAGGACTCATGGCATTGCAGTGCCTGAAGGTCGAGATTATTTGAGAGAGCTGACTTGCCACAGAGACAAGCAGCGCGACGGACTTGGAGTGTGCCCGGAGTTTTCGGCATCGGCAGATCTTTCCCAAAATTGCTGTGAGGCAGCATCAGCGATGAAGCGCAGGAGGTTCTCCAAGACCTCCAGGAGTCTCTGCAGTCTGCACTGATGCCTTTGTTTGATTGGTCGCTGGTCCAACTCAGGAGCATCCTGTGATGTTCTTCGAGCCATTGAAGTTTGTTCTCGCAGCCACCTCAGCAGGATGCAAACACCACGACCGTGATTGACCGACTGCTCACCACCCCGCCCATTGCCTACAAGCACCATTTTCTTCACCAGTAAGGATGATGTGACAAAAGAGTTCATCAAGCTTGTGGTGGAAGAGCGGGTCCGTTTCCTCAGCAGCTGCAAACTTTCTCTCACGAAGGCCTTGCCCCCGAAGTCCGCAGAGGGCTTGGCATTCGGCATTCTCGAACCTGCCAGCCCACAAGTGAGATACACCCTAGACCCCTAACCGTGCCCTAGCCGCCTGTTCCTGTCTTAAAGATCTTGGAGCCAATCCTTGGCGCCTTGGGCACCGCATGCGATGGGCAGCCGCTTTTCCTCTGCTTGTCGGTGCTCGGCTTGATGGCCGGCAATATCCTCACTATCCTGGACGCCATGTGCTGACCCTCGCAGGTCGCGATGTCGCAGTGCTTGTGCATTTTGAAGGTTGGATTCCGGACACGCGAGCATGCCAGGTAGCACGAGATTGATGTGCAACTCAGGGCCCTGGGACTTTGCTTTCCTCGGTGATGTGCCGTTCGCATCTGCGGCCTGGGTTCGGGAAGAGGATTTGCAGCGACAAGTCTGGGTTCCCGATCCTTTCAATGCGAGGCCAGTTGCTTTTGTTGCATGGGAGCTCCAAGGGTGCACCGCTGCTCCCTGAGGGAGTGGCTTTGCCCTTCGCAAGCGTGCCCGGAGTTTGCCACGAAGCCATGTGCTCGATGCTGTGATCGGCGGCTTGGGGAGGCTTGTCAGATTAGCAAAGAGTGCTGCGACCCTGCTGCCTGGCTGAAGAGTCTGTGCCATCGGACAACAGCAACAAACCAAATACAATCCCGGCCTGCAACTTCAGGTTGCGCTGGGGCGACGGGGAGTTGCTGCCTATCGCATCTATCTCCCAAGCTCTGTGAGCTTGTTGTACTTCCAAGCTTGCGCTTTGCAGTGCGCAGTCTTTATCAATCGCAGCCTGGTTTCACAGTCCCTCGCCTCAAGCATTTCTAACGGGAGCCTCTGGTGCACTTGCGACCCGCCAGCCGCCAGAGCCAGGCATGTGGGTGGCTACAGTCCATTCTGGGTGAGCCTCGCCGAGTTCCGGGCACACAGCGCCGGAAGCTTCGGCTTGGTGCCTCGGTCCACGTCGCCATAGCATCGAATCTTGCATGAGTCCATGCTGTCACCCTGGCAGGAGCTCTTGGTGCTGGCAGACAGCCGCTTTACTGGAGAGGCACCAGTGCATCAAGAAACCTACGACTGGCTCCAACCTGGAGGTGGGAACAGCCATGAGGGAGTGTCAGCGTGCATGAATGAGTGTTCCTGCTAAGAAGGGCTAGCTTCGGCTCACAAGACCGCTAGACGCAGGCTTCTATTCTTATCCTTCAAGCCCTGCCCCCGACGTCCCCTTATCCCATCACGAACCCACGGCTACAGAAACGAAGCAAAAGCACATAATACCGTCCCAAGCCGTTCAACACCCACGTGTCGCACGGCCCGTGGTGCTGCATCTTTGTCATGACGCACGCGTGCCTCCTCATCCGTGGATCGCTGCTTCTTGAACCTTCCGCCAATGTGTTTCAAACAGCCAGTCTTGTCTGTCAATATCTAAGTCGTATCACTGCCAGTCGGAAACTACCTCTCCAAAAGGCGAACTCGTGTACTCCGAACCGACTTGCTAGCTAACCCCGGTTCTTGCGCCCTTGCTGGCAGGCCTTCTGCGACCCGTCGAGGTTGGAAGTCGAAAGCTGTCCATGTGGTTAGACCGAGCTGCCGCCTGAGACTGCAGGCCCACATCCTCCCGCAGCCGACGAAGCACGTTGCACATGTGTCTGTGATTCCGTCCAAAGACAGCGGCAGACGTGACAACGTGCAGGTGCCCGGTCGCCACACAGGCAGCAACTGTCCGTCCAGCCCTTGCACCTGTGTAGGTGACATTGAAGTTGTCCGAAGGATGCGGCCCTGGCAGCTTGGATGCTACATGTGGAACATGACACGAACTGAACAATCTGCCGGATGCATGAGGTTCATAGCCGGGGACTGTTTGGTATTGATCGTGTGACGAGGCATGACCGCCAAGATTCGGTTTGACGACCACCTCACGGCCAGAGAACGCCAGGTTGGCCAAACGACGCAGTGGACGGAGCAGGTCCCACAACCACGGCTGTGGACCCCGTCGCAACCGCAACTCCACTTGCTTACGCTCACCCTGTTTTCAGAGGGTGTGCAGGTGGATGCCGTGGAAGTTCGCTTCGGGCTCCGAACCGTCGAGTCGAAGGAGGGTCAAATCCGCATCAATGGCGAGCCTCTCCTGCTGCTGGGCGTGAACCGGCACGAGAGCAATCCATTTGGCGGCATCTTTATGACTCTCGATGGTCTTCGGCGAGATATTGAGCTGCTGAAAGAGCTTGGTGCCAACTTCGTCCGAGGCTCTCATTACAGCCAGGACCAACGCTTTCTGGATCTATGTGACGAGAATGGTCTACTGGTCTGGGAAGAGGCTGTGGCGTGGCAGCCCTCCCTGGAAGACCTGCAGGATCCGATTTTCATGAGCCAGCAACTCCAGGCTCTGGATGAGACTATCCATGCTTCCATGAACCACCCAAGTGCCACCTGTCATGCACACTACTGCTTGTAATGAGGTGAAGATTCACGAAGATGTAGAAGTCGCATGTGGCCGAACACAGTTTAGGCACGGTCTTTTAAGTTCCAGGTCATCATCTGGGGATTCCTCAATGAAGGCGAGTCGAACATGTGGGCAGCCAGGGAAGCGTATCAACAGCTGGCAAAGTTCACCAAATTGAAAGATCCTTCTCGCTTGGTCTCGTGGGCATCGAGGCACAGAGTCCGTAGCTTCGCTGTAGCTGCGCCGTACCTGCAAGTAGCTTTCGGCCTTTGAGGCACAAGATCCGCGACGAGACCCTGGATTTGGCCGATGTCATTGCGTTCAATGACTACCCAGGCCGCTATCACCAATAGAGCTTTGCAGCCTTGCCAGCCTAGCAGCTGTGTTAGTTGGCCGCCAGGCTGGTATGATGCTCTTGTGCCGGATATTCCGGCTGTCTGGCAGAGCTATGCTGATTGGGCGCGGGTCCATCACCCTGGCATTGGCCTCAGTATTCAACGTCAAGAATCCGCAGTACACGGCAGACCTTGAGCCTTCTGCTGGAAGCGAAAGAAGACTTGGAACGATGCACACCAGCCTTTTTTCCGATGCATTTGTCTCAAACCCCAGGGACTGGCAGGACGCAGCCTTGTGGCCATGGAAGAGGACTGGATCCTGGTTTCGCTGGACCTCCCGCCTTGTAGCGACAGAGCTAGAAGAGCCAACGCATGGGCTTCCGGCGACACAGCTAGAAGAGCTGACCCAAAGGGCTTCGAGCGACACAACTAGGAGAGCTGACACCAGCCACGGTGCTGGATGCGGAGACGCCGGCAGGCTCCACGGACGTAGCCGTGACTCCCGGAAGCACCCGACGACGACAGTTACCAAGTAGCCCAGCGACGACCCGAGCAGAGAAGCCCGCGGCTCGTACTTGGAGTTTTCACCTGTCAAGGCGGTGTCGGTTGGGTTAGCATAGGCACCTCGTGTCCAGCTTGGCCTTTGCAGCATGGGGCGAACTTCCTCCGAGGCACCTGGTGTTGTGGGAGCTGCTTTGCAATCCTACAAGAGAAGGCTGGCGACGTGGAGCTCCCTGCGGAGCCGCTCTCCGTTTGGCTCCCGAGAAGATGCTTGAGAAGACCAAGACCAAGCGGAACGGTTGCGTGCAGAGCGGAGGAACCTGGAGTTTCGAAGAGTTCTTGAGAGGCAACCGCCTGAACGTTTGCAAAACGGGCCGCTTTCAGAGCCGCTGCCTCAGCCTGCCGCAGGGCACCGGAAGTCTCGACGCATCTCGACGCGACTTTCCTCCGTCTTGCAAAGCACTTCCGCCACAGCCTCCGAGAACAAAAGGCAGAGTTTGAGGAGGGCAGCCGCCAGTGTTGGTACAGCAGAAGACTGCTGCCGAGCAGTGACACAACGTCAGTGGTCTTACTAGCTCAAGGACTTGTCAACCGCAACGAAAGCTGCTGTGAGGAATAAGCGGGCCACAACCCTAGCAACCAAACAACTGCAGAGTGCGAACCCAACATATTTGGGGCAACGACAGACGAATCAAGAGGCGCTAAGGGGAAACCAGAACCGAAGCCTTAAACCGAACTAACAGAAAAAGGCCATCAAGCAGGCCCGAGAAGGGCCAGCACAAAGCATGAAAAAGGGCACAGCTAGCGCCATCCTTCCTGCAGGATATGCCTCATGCAAAAAAACACCTGCCAGGAGATCGTGGCGATCGGGAGGCTTCTTTCTGGGCCAACTCAAGCGCTTCTGAAGCGGGCAGTCAAGACAAGGAGACGATGTACTGTCCCTGCGACGCTGAGAGCATGACCACACGACATGCAGCAGCTCCGCTCCTTCCTGGCAGCAGAAAGTGCAAACGAAAACCGGAGCAGGTGCTGTGCGATAGGCCGTGGCCGACGCATCATGACTTGAAGTTTGGCGGGTAAGACATTAGCACCCACAGGCACAGCAGTATGATCACAAGACTGGGCCGTGTGGCCGCGGCAGCGGGCCTCACAGTACGGTGCCTTCTCCAAACTTCCCTAAGGGAGTGCAGAAAAAAAACTTTACAATTTCTGGCAAACCAACGGCTGGAAGGCTGCACCGAGATGCGGACTGAATCATCGCTGGTGGGACTCCACGTCCAAGAATTGGTAACCTGCCAGCCGTGCCGGCTGGAGAAGGAGCGGAGAGATCTGGCTAAACCCGATTTAAGCTCCCAGGAACCAAAGGGTTTTCGGTGCCTTTGACAGAAGTGAAAAATGGCGTAAGCAACCGCCGAGAAGCAAGCAAAGTCTGCGATCACCCCGAGAGATGTTGCCCAAGGAAGGATCGTCAGTTGCATGTGTAGCAGCACAGCGTTGAAGCGCAGCTTCAAACTTACGGAAAACCTGCTTGGGAGGAACCTTAACAGTCCATCCGGCAGCCTCCGAGACAGTGGTTGTGGTAGACCTACTGTCAAGTGGCTGAAGGTCAGGAGTTCCTCGCTGCTGTTATGCCGTCGCCATAGAGACCAACCTCTACTGAAACGTTTGCAAGATTGTAGGCGGCTCCTCTTCAACTTGACCAGCACAAACTTGGGGCAGCTGCCGGTGGTAGTGGTGACAAGATGCCCAGAACGAGCATTGCCATGGGAAAGTTTCCTCCGTCGTTGTCGGCTGGAATGGTGCGTCAGGTTAGATCAGGTTTCCTCCAATGAGCTCTACCACTTGGAGGCCGAAGCGGCATTGCTCGAACAACCCCAGTACAGGAGCCTGCGGACGGCACGCAGCTCCCAAGCTGACAGCGGTTTCATGGGGCCTGTAAGTCCCGTCATTGCCATTAGCTACGTCCGAGAATTTGGACTTGAAGTTTTGCCGGTCGTGCGCTTTGAAGGACCTTGACTCCTTCGAGCCCTTTGAAGCAGTCCTGCTTCCACAACGATTCAAAGCTTGCTTCCTTCGTACAGCCGGCAGGCCCCTGCGCAGCCTGAAACCCGGAGCTTTGAAGCACTTGTGCGCTGGAAGCAAGGTCTCGCTCCACTGCGTTTGCCTTGCAACAGCGCTCATGCGCAACTCCCCACCAGATCCAAGCGTACCTTTGCACAGCCCCAAGCGTTGCTTTGCACAGAATCCAAGTTTAGCTCTGCACAAAACATTACGTGTAGCTCCCCGCACTCAAGCATAACCCTCTCAATGCCTCAGGCAGAGCCCCCGGCAAGACCTCAAGCATAGCTTCCCGCAAGATCTTAAGGGAGAGGGACCATCTTTGGGAGAAGCCCGCATCTCTGAGGCAAAACTCTGCTCATTGCAGAAGCGGGTGCCAGTGGCCTGGCCAACTTTATGCGGCCAGCGAATTCATCTGGTGCTGGTCTGGACGCTTCCAAACAGCTGGCACACGCTATCCTTCTGCAGTCAGCGATTGCATAGACTTGAAGATGTATGTTGTCAGGAGATGTGGTCAGAAGACCTGCAAGCGGCCATTGTAGGCGCATTTCAGCTAGGACACGGAGCGTCTGCCAGAGTTTCATCACATGTGTGGTGACAGGCGCGACAATAGCATCGGCAGTGGCTGCCGGTTACGCGGGAGTCGCTTTGTGGCAGTTTGCCGACTCGCGTGTGGACGTCGCCCTCCTCGAAGAGGACAACCAGCGACGGCAGGAGTGCCTCGTACAGTATGCGATTTGGGAGATTTTGGGAGTCGGCCGCGAGGGAAAATGCCCGAATCCGAGGCTCCCGCCGCCGATCTTGGAAGTCGGGGCCGCCTGGGTGGAGCAAGTCGCGGCGGGGTCAGGGCAGCCACGAGCTTGCATCGGCTTTGTGTGCTGTTGCGAGGTTGGATATCAGCTAACGAACTCTCCTTTCGGCCATCATATGGCCTTGCGGCCGCGAGGTCTGAACAATAAAGGTTTGCTGTCTCTGTCGAGGCCGGAGGTTCCACGCACCCCATATGCACTACAAACCTTTGGTGTGCAAGTGTAGGCAGCATCGCAAGCTCGCCTTCGAAGTTGCTAAAGAGCCTCAGTCAACGCAAGACTTCCATGTGTGTGGAGCTGGTGAACTGTGACTTGTCGGACCACTTAGATGCGTTGAGAATGTGAAGTGCTGAACCGAGGAAGGCTTTCGTGGCTTCTGCTTCCCGATCGTTCCGGGCAGACCACTGGAGCCCTCGACACCAACAGCCGCGGTAGAGTTCGAGTCGTTGGAGCCACGGGGTGCCATGCAATCACCTGCAGGCCATCACGAGCTCGTTAAGGGAGCGCAGCGATCGCTCGTGCAAGAACAAAACAGTTCCACTTGTTTCGGGTGGTTGGACTGTATTTTCAAAGGCAGAACGACAGAGCCTGCCACCATGATATGGTGACAACCTGCAGGTTGCACCGGCTGCATGCTTGCAGCGCACACATGGAATCCGGCAGACAGGCAGGGTCACACTTCTTGGTCTTTTGTGCCAGGTTGTTGTGTTTGCAGAGGCCTCAAGGAGAGCCAGGTCTGCGAGTACACGGCCACCGCCTTGCTTCCCGTGCAGCCCGCTTCGTTTTGAAAGCGGGGCTGCTGAGCCTGGCAGGCCTGTAGACGGAGTCAGTTAGTGCATCGGGCTCACGGAGCTGCGAGGGCACTCGGACGGCCGGCTTGCGGCAGTCGGCGGCTTCGTGACAGTCGCAGGTGCATAACCTCATTTTGAAAACGGTTATTCTGCTCTGGACGTCAAGTAGGAATCGCAGCACTTGTTAAACTTGTCAAGCTGTAGGCTGGCCTTGTTTAGGCACTCGTGATGTTACCTCCAGCTACGTTGCCGTCAGAGAAGCTCCGACATCGCTTTGGCGGTTTGAGATGCAAGACGACCCGTGCCTTGCCGATGCAACCTCTCTTCTCTTCTTCACGTCTCTCTCTGAATGCAGTGATTGATGACAGACATTGACAGACTGACTAGCTTTTCTGCTGCCAAGGAATGTTTTTCTTCTGAGAGTGATCGCTGGCAAACGTTGTGGCGGAGTTTTGTCAGTTCATGCAGTGCGTGTTCCAGAAGACCACCGACGACTGCCGCACTAGTCGAAAAATGTCATGTCAACCTTGTGCCCACGTACATACACAATGTTCGCAAGGCCTTGGATTCAACACGATGTTGAGAGGAAGAGTTCTGTGTTTTTGCATTTGCTTGGATAGGATCTGCCGGTAAGCAAAGGAGATGGAAATTCCGTATATGCAGTGGTCCATATGTGCCTCGGTTCTCAAACTGATGTGTGTCCAGAAATGCAAGACGCAACAGAGGGGCATGCCATGCAGCTGGATATTTCCATGTCTAGGCCCACTGCCTGCGCAGGGATGCTTCATTGGCCACCCTCTTCAAAATGCGTGTGATCGTTTGAGCAGCTTGAGCTTCGAGCGGAACGTGGAGCTGGCCAGGTCGTCCATGGAAGCAGATTCTCGTGCCAGATCGTGCTGCTTGGCGCTTCGACCTCCATCACGTCTTTTGATCGGGATCGGGAAGCTGGCAACGAGAGCCGAAGAGGACGCGACCAAGACTTGCTACTGCTATTGCAGTAGTCAATAGTTCACAGTGATCAAACCAATCCGACGGACACGGTGTTGGGTGCTGGGACCCGGGACCAGAAACGAGTTGATCCAGATGCTAAAAAGGATTGGAGGGGGCGCTTTATTGTGCTGTGCGAGATGCCACGGCCCCTGTCGGCAGCCTCTCGCAGTAGGTCAAGCTCGATCAGAAGGGAGCGCCTGTGAAAATTGCCAGACCCTTGGGACAACACGGACACCACGGACACCACATTCACCTCTCTGAGCTGCTTGATTGAACTCTCTTGGACTCGCTTCCCGATTTGCCAGGAAAGACGCGATGCACGACATCCAGAGAAGAAGGCTTCTACTTCGGTTCGAACTTGTGTGACCCAGTTCATTGTCATGGAATGCCTTGTCGTCAGCTTGTCCATGCCTTCGAGGCCAAGGCCCCTGGGTTTGTAGCGGCACTCGTCGGGCCATGGCTTATGCCGCGCTTTGCGCGCCTTGCGTGCCTGTTGGCACTGCTTTGCCCGTCGGATGCCGAAGGCCTGGGCCCGCAGGACCAAGCTGGAGCCAAGTCGGAGACAAAGCGCGGGGAGGGTCACGGCCAGAGCAGCGTCCACGGTGACGGGCTCGCACCGGTGAAGCTGCCAGCGCAGCCACTTCTGCTTCCCAGGGCAGCGGCACACCGCTTGGAAAGGCTCCTTGTCTTCACCTGTTTCCCACCGCCCTACACCACACAACACACAACACCTGCGAAGCAAGAAAAGCTTTGCTTGGAGCTTTCATTGTGCCACGCCCTACGCACTGGCAGGATGTGCAGTTCGGAGCCGTTGACAAAGTCCCATGCAGTGGAAAGCTGGGTGAAGCAGCGCTTCCAGGCCCAAACCGAGCTTTCGATAAATCTCGGCTGACTGTCGGCTGTGCACCTCCGGCAGTTGCTGGGCGTCCCACCGAAGCACAGCTTGCCAGAGGAGCCAGTCTCATGTGGGGTCGCAAGATGGAGCCCTTCCAACATGAAGCCGTTGCAGAGGAGCACCGAAAGCTGGGAGAGGCACTGGCAGTGCTGGCAGCTGCAACGCCGGCGCTCGGGCGACTCGGGCCTTTGCTGGTGACCTGGACCACCGGTGAAAGGAGCTTCGTGAAGCAGGTGCTGCATGCTCTTGCAATCTGCAGGAGGGAGGGAGAGCTTTCTTTCAAGCGTGTCCCTGCAGGTCCTCAATCTTGGGTTGTCCATTCGACGCAATGTGCCACATCTGGAGAAGAGGTTTGTTGTCGTGGCGATGGATCGAAGGGCACACAAAGAAGTGAAAGACTCCGGGTTCCAATCCGTCCTGCACGTGAAAGAAGCCGAAGCAGACGATCTGTCAGACCTGATCTGGAAGTTCCGCTGGCATCTTCTGCTAGTAGCTGTTAGGTATGGGCTGCGACTGGCAGTCGTCGACTCTGATGTTGTCGCATTTCGAGATCCTTTTCCTTTACTTGGCCATGATGCTGACATGGAGATTGCCACGGAGCATTTCTGGCCGGAGAAGCATTTGTGGAAAGGCCGGGCTGCCGTTGGTTAGCCAGTTCAGTCAGTGACACTTTTGGCTTTCGTCTTGTTACGGAGAGGCTGGGTACGGCCCGAGGATGACCTGAGCACCGGCTTCATTTTCGTCCGCCCATCTCCGACTCTGGACACCTTCCTGGATGCCTTCCTGGCAGATCCTCGCCGAACCTGAACTGTCTCTGTCCCGCCCGAGCACGCCCGAGTGGCCCGAGTATGCGCGGAGTCTGCCCAAGTACGTCCGAGTACAAATATAATGTAGCAGTCACCAGAAGACAATCGTTTTCTCTAAAAACATATAAAAGAAATGATGCATAATATTTAGTATCTCATGTCTAACATCTAATATCTAATGACAATGATCCAATACATGATGTATATATATATATATATATATATATATATATATATATATATATATATATATATATATATAATACAATATTGACACAGTATAATGTCGTCATAGCTAACTAGTTCTGTAACCACAAATTCTAAAATTAAGATGTAACATATAAACACTTCAGAGTATAATACAGAATATCTACACATAACTTGTCTAAAACATAATATAACACACAAAAGTACATACAATATACCATACAGCCTGTAATATCTAATCAAGAAGATGCATATACATAAATTATGAGCATACCCGGCGCTACTCGCGCATTCTCGCCCATACCCGCGCAAACTCTCGCGTACTCGCCCATACCCTACCCGGCTCTCATACTCGCGTACTGTCGCGCATACTCCCGCATACTCGCGCCTACTCGCACATACTTCCGCATACTCACGCATACCCGGCGCAGTTTGTTTCGACAAAAGGCAAATGCAAATCAATCGCTGCCTGGTGGACTTCTGCGAGACCCCTTCGATCAACGTGTGTTTAATAAGCCGCGGGCCTAGAGCCCACAATGCCTAGAACTGTTGCAAGTTTTGTTTGTGAACACGGGTTCTGCGTCAAATGAGAAGAGACTGCCACCTAAGGTTTGTAAGGGGCACCGCTGCTCGGTGCAATCCGTGTGTTCAAGGGCTCTTCAACGACATGGTTCTGCAAGTGTCGCCAGGTGGGGCGACGGGCTGTTGTGCCCGCTCACACGTCTCTGTGTGTGTATGTGTGTCTGCTCAGGTGTAGCGGGACGAACTTCTGAAGATCAATTACGTTTGCGAGTTCTTGATCCTCGGGAGGCCTTGATCCTCGGGAGGCCCTTGCTGCCACTGTCGTGAGAGGCCTGCGCCGGCGCTTGCCAGGTCGTGGCCAATGGGGTGAATTTCTTTTGGCGGAAAGCCCATCTTCAAGGCGAAAAGCCAACGATGCCGGCTCTCGCTCATGCCAACGGAGTCGGGCCGAAAGAGTACTTTCTCCAAGACCGGGGTGCCTGGTACTTGGATGATCTCAAGGCACCCTGGATTATTTCAGTTTGGGCCTCGCAGAGCCATGCGGAGCCTCATGGTCTGGACGCCTCAGGAGCGCTTTGGCCCCGCTCCTCGCTTCTTCTTTTACCGTCATCCGTCGAATCTCTCCTTGAAGGAAGACTTCGCACATCTGGCTGGGGCTTTGGAAGTTGCACGGACTCTGGGGCGTCGTCTCATCCTCCCGAACAACATGAACTGCCAGAATTGTCCAGCTTTTGAGGCCCGTTGCACAAACAGCACATCCTACAATACCCTCACCTGGCCAGCACGATGCCCCTTCAGGCATACGGCTTGAACATCAGTCTTGGCGGCACATGCACTGTGGACTACTTTGCGTATATGTTCCGCTTCTACCATGTGCATTCAGCAGAGGTGGTGCCTGCTGGCACAGGTGTCGATCCGGGGTTTGAAGCGTTGTGGGGCAAGCCAGTGAAGCTCGCAGCTGACGCCGATGCGGCAATGAGCAGTCGCATAGAGCATCCCGTGGTCTATTTCCCGGGGGATGTACGTGAACTCCGCGATGCTCTTCTCGCCAAAGGCACGCTGCGAAGGACCCGCCTTTGCAGTGCAGATTGTGCATGACCGCAATATCGGAATCCACCAGCTACCGGCGCATGCGTGACTGGGAGGAATGAGTGCAGCTATCATGAATGGCCTCATCGGTTCATGGCCTGTAGCTCAAAAGTGTGAGAGTAAGGCATCGTGACAGATCCACTAGAGTGTCCGTTTTTCCATCCATTTGTCCGAGGCTTGCCGTGACGAGGCCTTTGTACGGCATCATGGGGTGCCCTGCCAGTCGTCAGCTGGCCAATCTGGATGCGGCGCAGAGGGGTTCGTGTGCTGCTGGTCGCATCATGGCCGCGCTGATCGCTTGGAGTGTCTCGGATGTCCAAGTTGAGATAGTCAGCTGAACCAAGTCCCGTCCAGGCTTACTCCTGGTAGATGTACAATTATCAGGTACTACACCGACGTACCCTGGGACTTGCCGTGTGACTGTGGGTTGACCTGTCCGGGCGTGCCCTCCTCCAATCCCGGAGTCCGCTGTTGCGGCAATGGTTCGGCTCAGTGTACATGGGCTGCTGAAGCTAACCCGGTGCCACCTGCACCAACGAATCCTGACAAGGATCAGGGCCTGGATCGGTCAAGTATGCGTCTTATAAGGTAGCAGATGATGCGGTCCCTGTGCAGGACCTTCCTTTCGCATCATCGTCGGTGCTGGAGTCGTTTGCGGCGGGGAACCTTTCTGCTGAGCAGGCGAGGCAAGTGGGAGCAGTTCTCACCTTTGTTGTGAGAAATCGAGTGCAGGTCCTGAGCATTTGCCTGGCTCACCGCAGTGTCTACTTCATCGTACGTGAGCCTCTAGATGGGGTGCCCGAAGCAGACTGCAACGCCCTGGTCAGTGCTTATGTCATTGGTCGAAGAGAGTGGGAGGCCGCGAGGCGATGGTGGTTACTCGGCAGGAATAGCCCGTCTGAGCAGGCTTGCTTCTTTGCATGGTGTGTCATGTCTGGCAGACTTCAGGCGATTCTCTCTGAAGCTTCGACGACGCGACAAATCACTCTCTGTTTCTGTGGCGAGCGGTGAACCTGACCAGCTGATCCTAAACTTTGGCAAAGTCAAACATGACGAAGATCAGCTTGGTTGCTCGCATGAGTACATTAGAGATTCTTTGTAGTTTGTGGCGGAACTTGCGTGGTTTTGGCTGGCGTCCCATGACATCAAGGATTTCTCGTTCAGAGCATCCCCGAGCTGAGCAAGCATCTAGAGAAAACAACTGCGCTGCGGCGAGAGCTGGGTCGATATTTAGCAGGCATCACCTGAAGAGTAATGTGCTGCGGCCAGCTGAGACCTTGAGGGTTTCGCCCGCATGGTGCAGGTACCCGCGATCGAACTGCTCTGGTGCAGGCTGCCATGGCTGCGACAGACACGACAAACCGTGCTCTTCACGTTCCAGACGGTTTCCAATTGAGTCCGGAGAATACAGAGCAGCCACCAGATCGCAAGTAGGGGCGACGCTTTGCATCCCTTTGAACATTAATTTTCCAGACAAGTTTCTTTTCCCGAGCACCGAATCTGTAATTCTTGCTTGGTACACGCAAGGGACGGCAGAGCACCAACTCCATCGAATCCAATCTTTTTCCTTTCCCCCTACTACATATGGGAAGCCACCAGCGGCACAACAGCCTGTTTCTCGACACCTGAGTATGTACATCCGCGCGACTGTGTGGCCGCAAACAAAGCCTTCAGCATACGCAGAGCATAAAATGAAAGACAAACAGCAACTTCCGCTCTCAAAGATTGCCTCCGAACTCAGTGAGCAACCTCTTAGCAGCCTCAGCTCTCAGTCCTCCGTGGGCTTGGCGTTTAGCTGCATCTAGCTGGTAAGTTGGCAAGGACAAAACGGATGCTGACGGTGGCGGCCAGGCAGTTCTACGAGAGCCCGGTGCAATCACCGATGATGCAACCGGCAGTGCATAGCAACCTGTTGCCCTCTGAGGCATCGCGCGTTGGATTGACAGAGTATTCTGAGTGGATTTTGCAGTCAGTGATGTTGCTGCCGTGCAGGTGCTTGTCAGCATCTCCGGTCTGCTTCGTGCCTCCACTGTGTGGTACCACACGCTTGGAGGAGATGCTTCTGGAAAGCCTCGCTGTTGGACATGCAGATCTTGGTGAGGAGGCATAGCCTTGGAAGCACAACTCCGTGACGGTGCGGTGCAGAGATGCTCGAAAGGCTTCCACAGAGTTTGAGCGGGAGGGCCGGAGGGCCAAGCCGAAGCCGAGGCCTGCATGCAGCGCCTTTCTTGGAACTTGGCCTACTCCTTTCGGAAGCGCTCGGAGGCCTCGGCACGGTTCCTCGGATCCGGCTCAACTCCCCTTTGCCCGTCGCAGTTTGCAGGCTTGGCACTCACGGACATCAGGGCGAGGACTTACGTCGATGCGAAGCCATTCTCGAACTTGGGGCTTGAATGCTTTGCAGCTGATGTTGCCGCCGTGCTCCTGCTTGGCCCTGGTAACTTGCTACTCGCCCGAAGCCGTGCTTAGCGAGCAGAAACCAGAACGTGCCTTGCAGCTCGCCTTGAGTGGCCTCCGGCCTCCGTCAACAAAGGACGTTGAGATCTGTGTCCGACGACAGCTTTCCGCTTTGTGATGTTTCTGAACATGGCAACATGACTTCCCTGCTTCGCATGGACCGGGCACAGTGGTCCATGCGAGATTCAGGACGACGGAGGGGTTTCAGGTAGTCTTGAGATCGTGCATTTCTTGTCCTCATACCGCTGGACCAGGAGTGGAGGCCGGTGGTCTGGCTTTGATACGTGCCGGCCAGTGGTGCGAAATTCTGATGCATCCAGTTGCTGCAGCTTGCCCTAAACGACTTGATTTTGGGGATTGTCAAAGAGGAAGTCAGCACAAAACGTGGGAACACTGGAACCAAAGGCCGGCTTCGCTGAGAACCCGATGCTTCTTTTCTTCCACTTCGGCGCTGGTCCTGAAACTCGGAGGCAGGTTCTGCGAAGGAAAACCTTCTTGCACGAGCATGATCCCCACATCTTCAAGTACGCCATTTGAATTCCCGGCCGTGATGCTCCGGTGCCGGCGTCTAGCATCGATTTGGACGCCTGTCTGAGCGCTCTGCGTGTGGGCAAGAGCGAGACAGATCCTCGCGATAGAAAAGGGGGTCGCCTCATGTGAGGGAGGTTTTCTCCGTGCAGGGGCCCACGCGACTTGCATCATCTTGCATCGCGATAGGTGACCAGAGAGAAGCCAGACAAAGCTCTCATGGATGAGCTGGCGAAGGCAATGGTTTTGCTGAGCTTGTTGCCAGCATTTCGAGCAGCTTGGTTCTAGCGCGGATTTAGCTGGAGAGCTGCAGGTCCGAGGCGATCTTCGGAAGATTCAGGACGAACTCCACACCTCCCAGGCTCGAATGGAGCTTAGCTTGATCAGGGGATGACAGGAAGGGCGGCCTGCTCAGATCGAGTGCAAGCGATTGGCAGCATCGGAGAAGTTGCCCGGCACCCAACGCCACAGATGACACGAACGGTATGGACGGCTGCTGTAAGGGCTCGGGATCAATTGGAAAAGACAGAGGAGTTGAGGTGCGCCCGGATGCCTTTGAAGTGCACACTTTGTCAGACTGTGCTCAGAACGGGCAGGAGCAAAGCTGCACGACAGGACTGGGATGTGACGGGATGTGCCTCATGTTGCCCGCGTTTGGGGCTCTGCAATTCCGCTCAGGGCTCGACGGCGGAAGACGAGATCCGAACGCTGCGGCAGGCCTTGGAAGAGAAGGAAGCGAGCCTGAAGGAGCCGGGTCCTCGGACTTGCTTGGACTCCTGGCTTCCTCAGCGCCCGGCGGCGGACCCCTTCAGCCCCCCCCCGACCTTTTGAGGCTCGAGGAGTCGACGCAGAGCAGGAGCCTTTGAGGAGTGAGGGGAAAGGGAGAGAGAGGTGGCTCTGTCTCTGCCAAGGCAAGGGCGCGCACTCGGCCGCGGAGCTGAAGCAGCGCCTGAGTCTCAGCGGAAAAAGAAAAGAGTTTTCTCTGCAGTCCAAAGCATGAAACGCATCTGATTCCCACTCTTGAGGCGCAGCAGAGCTGACAGAGGCGACAAGAAGTGCCACAGTTGCCGTTAGCCGTTTGCAGAAAGAAAGCGCAGGCACAGAAGAGAGTCAATGATTTGACCGCTGATCTGTCCAAAACGAAGGAGGCGCTCAAAGCACTTTTGAACTCGAGAAGAGTCTGGTCGCCGACCGTGGACTTTGAAAGGAGCTGGCAGCAGCACATGCACAGATCAAGGGCTTGCAAGACAAGCTGGAAGAGGCAGCCATGCCAGCGCGTTCTGTCCCGTGGCGGCATGTGATCGGCCAATGTGCCATGGCAGGCCATGAACTCCGTAGTCAGGGGCCTCAGAAGCCGGAAGTCATCGTCATCTGCGGAGATGGCTCTCAGCGCAGACCCTCCCAGGCCCAAAAAGAGGCGTCAAAGACAAAGGTCATTGACCCGGCCATGGATGAGAACCTGCGAAAGGAATTGGTGCCACCCCCGAGCATGGGAGCAGGGCACGGCCACAGGGCTCTGGACTGATTTGGACTGCATGGTGCCGCCAAGCCCGGTTCCATGTCCAGGCATATCCAGACCAAGCCCATGTCGTAGGCAGTGGCATTGACATGTGCATTGATTCCAAAACTGTTCCAAATTGCTTAGGCTGCTACCCCGAGCAGTGCTGAGGTCCGCACACAAACGCACGAACTCATTGGGTCATTCTGTGTAAGTCATGGGGGCAGACACCCCCTTCGCCTGTGGGCCGTATGCCGCCGTTGGAGAGACTCCCGAATCAGATGAGGTCGGACGGTGTGTTGCATGAGCTGTTGCAGCTTCTTTTGTTGTGCCCCGTCCCAGGACTTGCGCCTTACTGCAGATCTTGACTCGCTTGCGCAATTGGGTACTGAAGATGAGCAGCCAGCCCAACCAAGCTCCTCGTAGAATCAAGAGTCCAAAGACAAATGGTTCTCGGGTTTAGTCTGCATCTTCGGCAGGGGCTCTCGCTCTGAAGACCATCAAGCTGCTTTGCACGATTCTGGGTCTGGGTGCCGTTCTCGTCGTGTGCCTTGTAACGCTGGGGGCTGCCAGGACCGGCAAGTCTCCGCGTGCTGTTGGAGGGCCCGAAAGGGTGTGAGGGGGGTGTTGTGACGGCAGGACCAGCTGGAGGCCTTTGTCGCCTCGGAACGAGGCCCTGCAGCAGCAGGCCGCGCCGGGCAGACCGGGCCGAGCCGTGGCTGGGCTGGGAACTGTGGTGCATTGCGGTGCCTAGAGGCGGAGCCGCCTTCCTCGGAGCTGCAGCTCTGGAAACCACCACTTTGGCACAAGGATTGGCAAGGCAACGATGTGAAGGTCGGCCCGTCGGGCCGCAAGCTCTTAAACTGCCGTGTTGGCGCAGACCCTTCCAAGGATTCCTGGGACCACTTCACAATGCCAACATGTGACAGCGGACCAGAGCCTGGTACAATGATCAAGGCTCGGGAAGAAGTCTCTTGCTCTCTTCGCTGAAGCTCTGAAAGCTAGTCGACAAATTTGAAGGAATCGGCGGCGGAGAAGATGGGAGCAGGAGGCATGAGTAACGGTTCTTCAAGCCGCCCAGAACCTTTGTAACTGTGCACATCTCCATTTGCGGAAAGGTAAGCATCGAAAGCTACGTGCGTCCAACACAACGGGGCATTGGGTCTTGGCGCAGCTCGGCTTCCGCTTTCCGCGACTCTGCGACGGAGCTGATGACCAAAACGTGTCGTCCAGCCACAGGGATGTAAAATGATGCAAGGAAGCGCACGCCAGCGCAAAAGGAGTGCGCAGAGCATAAGCGTGTCGCCAACGAGTACCATAAGCGATTGCCTCCTGGAAGAAATCTGGGCACGTTTGAGTCTCGGGCAGAGGCGAGGACGTGTGAACTCGTGTGGACTTAGGATCAGCGAGCATTGGGCTTTTGTAAAGCGCCGCGACCAGATCCGAGAGCTACACATCTGGCAGGGTCAGCACGGTTGCAAGGCATCCTGCATTGTGCTCGCATGATGCTCGCACTGTGCGTCTGCTCTGTCCGTCTTCTGCCGTTGCAGTGGTACCTCTTGAGGCACAGCTCGTGAACACCGCATCCTGCCTGAAACAGTTTGGTGATTCGGCAGACGTCACTGGCAGAGAGAGAGAGCGAGAGAGAGAGAGAGAGAGAGAAGCGCTGGCGAAAGAACGAAAAGAGAGAGAGAGAGAGAGAGAGATATATATTCGCTGGGATCCACCTCAACCAGCAGCTGTTCCGCACCACGACGACATGCTTTGGAGACCAGCAGGGGACTCCACAGACGTGGAAGGGGACCGGAGAAGGCATATGACAGAGCTGCGCAACGAAGCCTTCCAGGGATGGAACGCAGCAGATATATATCCCCGGCACTGAAACAGAAGACGAAGAGTGGGGACTTTCGCGCCGCCGACGCACAGCTGATGAAGGGGGCCCAACGTGTTCCCCGATGACCAGATCCCGCCGAAGCTTCCAACAGCGAGATCAACTGAGTGTGGCAAGTGAGGAGAGCCTGGAAGACAGGGCCACGCACCGTAGAAGGCGAATGCACGCGGCATTCGACCCGAACTAGACCGGGGAAGCCCCGCGCACCGGCACTCAAAACTTTATTCGTGTGTTTGTGGCAGTACTGTTGAGTACAAGCTTGTTGACACCTGGGAATGTGCCGCAAAAGGGGATTTTTTGGAACAATAGCTGCTACGCACACCACCATCAGCTCCCACTCACGGGGACTCCGGTACAGTTTGTAGCGTTCCCCTACTGAGGCTTTAACCTGGTACCCCTTTGTTTCCTGCCCCGACAATACCGGAGCCCCGCCACAGCACCACCACCACCACCAGTGCGGGGACCCAAGCTGTGTGTGATTTCCCCCTAGTGTGTTGAGGCTGTACCCTCCCCTTACGTGCTTCCTTTGGGGACCCGCACTGACACAAGCAACATAGGATCCACCAAACCAGCACCACAACAAACGAGAGAGCTCAAAGCAGTGTCCAGAGCTGAAGACGTTCTACATAGTCGCACTAAGGAACTCTCACGGTACTGGCTTTTGCTCGACAAACAGCTCGGGGACAACGTAGGGGCCGTAGAATACCTACGAGCCCCCACCACAGATACATGCAAGTTCGGCCAGGCGGGGGGAACAGTGCTGTACCTTGGGCTTGTTGATTACGGGGCATACGGGGAGGCTTCTTGAAGGAAACCCGACCTGGCCGCTCAAGCAAGTCTCACACCGAACTCGAACAGTGGCGTAGCGCTCGCGCGCAGGGGGTGTGGGGACCCGAGCCCCACCTCCCAAACGCCTCGCAAGCAAGCAAGCAAGAGAGAGAGAGAGAGAGAGAGAGAGAGGGAGAGAGGGAGAGAGGGAGAGAGAGGGAGAGAGAGATGTAGGCCAAGGGGTTGTGGGCAGCCCCTAAACCCTGAGCAAGCAAGCAAGCAAGCAAGAGATGTAGGGGGTAAAGCCCCTGCCTGGCGAGAGAGAGAGAGAGAGAGAGAGAGAGAGAACTGTGTGCAAGCAAGAGAGAGAGCGAGAGAGAGATTGAACACTTCAACAGTAGAGATCAGTCCTAGCGTCATAGCGGGACACCGAGATCAACCAATTTGCCAGTCACACAAACATTCCTTTATGACGTCAAGCCTTGGACCAGTCTTGAGCCAATGCCATTCGGCATTGTAGCATTCGTCAATGCATGACAAAAAGGTGCATCATTGGGCTCGTGTCATTTAACACAGTCCCTTGATCTTGACTTCAGTCGAAGATCATTTTCAACAAACAAACGAGCATTGGTAGTGGCTTTCGCGAAGCGATCAAAAACAATAACCAATCAAAACAGCGAGAGGATCATTGGTCTCATTCCGGACTTTTGGCTCGACTCGGTGATGACATTCGAGTCGTAACAAAACGGCAACCGGAGGCCGGTTGCACTGTACAAATGATCATTGCAGACAGTCGGCTGATGCTACATTCGACTGAATCCGAGAACTTCATTCTCAGAAAACCACTGAAGAAATCCATTCAAGGCTTCAGAAAGAATTTCACATTGCAAAACAATCGCAGTCACAGGGCACTCCTAAATTAGAACGGCTGCTCAGTGCATTCACTTCACAGTGCCCTTCGCATTCTTGCGCAGGACAATCTCGGAGCCGGGGTCGAGAGCACTCGCAGTCTGCGCGAGGGCAGTTCCAACGGTCTGGTCATTCGCCTTTGCCTTGGGGGCATTCCAGGCAGTCTGCGCCTCATTGCCATCATTCTCATAGATCTCGTCCTAGGTAGAGCAGTCGTGCTCCAGTCCTGCACCAATGCTTTGGCACAGTGGAACCATTGTGTGTCCCATCAGTCGCCATTCCAGCAGGGAGTCGCCGCGGTTGGTGGCGAGCATTCCCCACTCCATGATCTCATTCAAGGACAGCAGCAGTTTGGGGCTGCGGATGCACATTGGGCCATTGGGTCCGTCATTGGAACGCGGACAATCCCAGCACTTGCATGGGACAGTGGCTCCATTGTCCACTTCCAGTTGTCGGGACCATCGCCATCCCATTCGAAGGCGCTGATGTGGTCAGTGAATTGGCGATTGAAGTAATTCGCCAGTTTCACTCGAGCATTTCCATTCGGTCCGCCAGCAACCCATCTTCTCATTGCTGCAGTCTTGGTGCGGCGGAACACCACGAAGGCAATCGGTTCGCCATTCCCACTCTCCTCGAAGACGCCTTGATTCGCCCATTGTACAGTCTTCCTCAGTGCGCTGAGGGCATTGTAGCTGCCATTCAGCTGGTGGCAAGGAAACTTTGCCAAATCCAGCACACCATTGGTGTACAGTCCCATCGCCAACCAGTCGTCGACATTCACCAGAGCATCAGTAGCATTCTCCTTCGCATAGTGAGGAGACCGCCATTCCACATGCCTTCGTCATTTGCGTCCAGCTCGTCTCAATCATCCAGTTGTTCGGGCCATTCGACTCAGTCTGGATGCTGAGAGAGTGCATTCGCATTTTGAGCGAGCTAATTGGACCATTCGAGTGCCGATCGGGGTGGTCAAATCGATAGGCAGTCGTTCCACCACTCCTCGTTCCAGGCAAGAGAACACTCAGCATTGGGGCAGTGTCCTCATTCCACTCTCTCTTTTAGAGAGTCTCAGCCAAATTCACTTGGGCACGAAGCATTCGATCGGCGAGATCATTCGCCCTTTCAGCCGCTCGCTGGCGGTCATTCTCCACCACAGTGGTGATGAAAAACGTCAAGCTCATTCCACACTCTGGTGAGCTCAACTCCGCAGTCCATCGCAGTGCATTCACAGGGCCATGCCTGCTCAGTCGATGCGGAACCAGCACCTCATTCATCAAGTGGCGGGCTTCCCTAGGAACCGCATTCGCTGCGGCATTCGGTCCACTCGGGGCAGGAGCCTCCAGCACCGAATCATTCGGCTCATTTGCTGCATTGGCTCCAGGCAGCACTCCGAGCATTCCTGCACTTGAAGGGGCAGTCTCCTCTGTGCCATCTGCAGGCCCAGTCGTGGGAACATTCGCCATTGGCGGGCCCGCAGAAGGGCGGATCATTGACAGTCCCTGCGCCAGTCGCTGCAGATCCGGGCGATCATCCGGAACATTCCCTGCAAGGTGCAGTGCAACCAAACTGTTCTGCACTCCAGTCTGGCGAACCTCTTCCTCAGTGAGGTCACTCAGGGAGGCAACATCAATCAGCAGTTGCTCGGCAGTGATGTCCTGGCACTCGCTCAAAAGCTCCACTCTTCGGTGCTGCAGTCGAAGGCTTAGGGGCCATTGCTGCTACAGTCGGGCGAGCGAAGGAAGCAGTCCACACTACAGGCAGTCGACGTCACAGAAAAAACATTTCGGGGGAAACACATTGAACTCAGTCTGCAACACATGGACCTAAAGCAGTCCCTTGCATTGCACTTTGTACATGCAATCTCACTTGCAATCACTCGGAAAACAATCGGCCACATTTCGGCAAATCGGAAGTTTCGGCACAGTCCCTTCGTCCCTTCGGGACCGCAAACAATCGGAGAAAGCATTTCGGAAAATTCTCTCATTCTCTCAACTCTCTTTTTCTTCGGTTTTGGGTTTTCGGGCAACATTGCTCCATTGCACATGCCGCCATGACAAGACAAGTGAACATTGTACATGCAGTCATGACAAGAAGCTGCTGCATTCCCTTTACACTGGACAAAACAGCAGTGTGAAATGTGCAGTCAAAACATGCAATGCATTCACCGCAGCTCACCTACACAGTCCCTCGACGTGGACTTCAGTCCATCGGCATCCAGAGAAACAGTGTGCGCAGTGGGGACATTCGGGACGCGCACGAGGGCGGTCAGGGAGGGGGTGCGCGGGCCATAGTACGGTGGTGGTGGGGGAGGAGGAGGGCCATTGAGCATTCACCACATCAGCAACATGATCATCAGTATCATGAGCATCAGTGGTGAGATCTTTGAACCAGTTAGACTCGTTAGACACAACACCAATATGCGCCTTCAGTCGCTGCAACACATCAGCTGCAACATACTTGGTCATTAGATCCGCGGGAGTCCGCATGCCTTCAATCTTGGCCATCCTCAGTAGGCCCAGTTGCACCAGATTCTGCACATATAGGAACCGCTGTTCCGCATGTTTTGTCTTCTTTCCAGTGCCAAAGCGGGTCGCCATTGATTTACCCGCAGTGCTGTCGGTGTGCGCAATCACATTCACCTTCTTCGCTAGCTTTGATTCCAACAGCATTGACCGGACAAACAGTGCTTCAGACACTCCTTGACCAATCGCATACAACTCAGCTTCACCGGAGGACAGCGCCAGTGTTCCTTGTGTTCTGGCAGTGCTGACCACATTGCAGCCAAGGACACTCACAGTGGAACCGCTAGTGCTCTTCCACTTTGTAAAGCAACCAGCCCAGTCAGAATCCACATTGACATTTATGTCCACGGTGCAATTGCCATTCGCAAGCTGATACGACGGTCGCAGTCTTAGCACACACATTCTTGTGCTAATCAAACAGCGCGACAGGTTTTTGCATTTCGCGACACTTTGCATTGTCGGTACAGTCACATCCCGACTCAGCTCTTTCGTCGCATAAGCAATATCACCTCGAACCAGTGCTAGCCACAACAGTTTGCCAACAGCAGTCCTGTAGACCTTGTGCTCTTCAGGACTTAGTGGCGTATCTGGGACAGTCTTGTTGATGGTCACCGTCCCAGTCGTTGCCACAGGTTTGGCAGCCTTCATTCCATACAGATCAAGAATCGCATCAATGTACTTTTGTGAATTGCATACATCAGTCGAGTCACCATTGTGTTGCAGTCATCGTCCTAGGAAAGTGTGCTCACTTCCCGGCACCAGTCGGCCAGTCTCTTTCAGCAACACTTCCTCCGACAGTTGAGACATGAACGATTTCCTCATTTCGCCAGTCCCTACAACCAATTCAACTTCTTCAACACGCGCCAGTCCAGGAGGGGGCCTCACTCGGCCTTTCACTCCAAGATCCGGTGGCATTACAAACGCAGTCGACTCAACTCCATCTCCACGCGGCTGCCAAGGAATTGAAGTCATTTTCATGACGTACGATGCATTCCATTGTTAAGGGGATCTTCTCTTCACAAATCTGACCTGGAATACTCCATTGCCATTCCCAAGCACAACCTCATCGGCTTCAGTGTCCTTTCCAAGGTACACGCCGGTAAAACCATTGAGATCCAGCCTTGGGAACACGCACTCTGCCACTAACAGGCACCTTTGCGTCGATCAGTTCACCAAACATGCACAGTGAGCCGTTGTACTCGCGATTCCAGCGACGGCTGTAGGCAGTCTTGCCGTCAGCTCCAATCATGTACCGATTAATCAACCATTGCGCATGCTCTAGACTCCAGGTGAACAATGATGATTCAGAGCTCACCTTCACTCCAGTGGATTCCTCCACTTGGGACGACAGTGTTCGCACGCAGTTGGCCATATAGAGTCCGCTGGGCATTTCCAACATTCCCTTGACTCTGGGAATGTCCAGTCGGTGCGGCTCTCATGGACATTCCTCCAACAACCTTGCAAAGATCACGCGCCATTGTCTTCAGTGGCGCTTCCTTGTCATATTGGACAATCCCAAAAGTACGGCCAATCTCAAACACAAATTTCCTCAACTCAGCAACTCCGTATTGCTCGACACTTCCCTTCGAAGGCAGTACAACAGCCATTGAATATCCAGTCTGGACATCCGTGGCATTCAGGATGGTGCGCTTCGGAAGGTCATTCTCAGTTGCCATAAAAGAGAAATCAATCTGGATCACAGGTTGCGATCATTCTTCTTCTTCTTCACTGCATGACTCTGTCTTCCTTTCGACCGCACGCACTGTTCACACCAGTCCCTATACGGGAGATGTATCAATTCGTGCAATCGCCGTGCATTTTCTGAGGGTTCTCCGGGAACCTTCAGCATTTTCGGCTTCAATGCACTCCGATCCTCAGTCTCCTGCTCGGCTGCTCGGCATTCTCACCAGCAGTAGGGCGATCCAGTGGCACAAACAACGTGTATCCAGCCCACTTGTGTCCAGCCGAATGGATCCTCACATTTCTTCACAGATCCATCAGGCAGTTTGATGTCTGCCCATTCGTTTTGACGGCCTGTGTCAATCATTGTAGGATCACTAGAGTCAAAGAACATTGTGTACCTATCACTCCACAAGTGATCACTCAACAATCCATCAACAGGCGACTTGGCATCATCTGGATGGAAGTAGCAATGACGCACTTCATGATGCATTCTTATCCAATATCGAAGAAGTATGATCCATCTATCTGCAGTCTTTTGTGCTGCAGTCTCGGGATCCTCGAGATTGAACAGTTGCAACAACAACTCCATCATTTTCTCTCCATTTTGAGGTAGTGACCGCAACGCATTCTCAAGCTCATGCTCCTCAACATTCCGACTCACGCGCACTTTGCGATCCAACTCTTCTGGCTCTTCACCAGTCTTGGCTCGGACCTTTGGAGCATTGTCTGCACTCTGCTCCATTTCAGCAAGGTCAGCATTCGCCGGTGGAGGGAGGCATTCTGCCAACCATTGGATCATGAGGACGTGGCGCACTCTTTTGCGCATGCCTGCGCTGAGGTTTGTGCGTCAGTCCAAATTCCACTCGTCCTCGCCAATCCTTTTCATAGGAAATTGCGGCCAACATCTGCTTGGCCTAAATGCCCTGCCGTAGATTGTGGTGTGCTTGGCCGTGCTTCCTGCTACCCACAACCGCAAACCACACAAAACTTCTTGCTGCAACATGCAGTGGTCAACTCATCTGGCTCGCTGAGCTCGCTCTGGTGCAAAATATAGTGTAACTTCAGTGTCTCACTCTGATGCTGCCATGATGCTCGCCGAATGCTCGCTCTGGTGCAAAATACAGTGTAACTTCAGTGTCTCACTCTGATGCTGCCATGATGCTCGCCGAATGCGCGCTCTGGTGCAAAATCTAGTGTAATTTCAGTGTATCACTCTGATGCTGCCATGATTTTAGGCTTGGAATTCCACGATGCCATGATGTTAATGACTCAATGATGCATGGGGGAGTTTGGGTTCGGACACGCGTAGTAGGCGCTGCATTTAGGATTTACAAATCGGACACGTTTGGATTGCTGCATCTCTTTGTGCTTGAGCCGAAGGCCTGCGGGCTCACGTTGCAGATCTTGGCAATCTTGGCAACTGCTGCTTTTGCAGCAGCCTCTGAGCTGTTGTTGTTTTGTAGGCACAGCCTGAAGGTCTTTTCAAACCATTGAACCAGGACTAACCACATGTTACACGGTGTTTTCCGTTTCTTTTCTACAGATTTTTCTACAGATTCTATAGCTCGTTTTCGATTGATTCCGGAAGCCTGCTAGGCTAGAATCATGACTCATGCTTCGACCGCTGAGCTGACTGATTTCGACGCTGGCTGGTGTAAATAAACTGTAAACTAGAAGTCATAGAATGGAGGGAAGCTGCTGTTTGGCAGCTGGTAGTACTGGCAGGCAAGCAAGTTTTTAAAGTCACTAGTGCACGGCACACGGCTTGGCCGCCATCGACCAGTCGACCAAAGCTTCGGGTTCATTTTTGGATTGATACTCGCTTTAGCTTTCAAGATGTTTTTGATTTGCTGAGTGTGTAAGGCAGCTCAATGCTGTGTGGTGCTGAAGTTGTGGCCGGGAAAGTGCGCTGCTGAATCTGCTGTCCCGCGTTCCAAAGCTCAAAGCTCCGACTCCAACCATGTGCAGACAACAGACAGCAGACACTGGCAGACTGGCAGACACTTTTGAAGATAAGGCGTGAGCCATACTCAATGAGAAGTTCGGATTGTCAGCGAGTCAGCGGTGCTTCAGTCCAACCTCATGTGTGCTTGTTGCTTATTGGAGATCTTGAAATCGAGTTTGATTGGTTACAGTTGTTTTGTGATTCATAATTTTATGATGGGGTGAAGCTGGCATGGCCGGCAAGGCTTTCGCGATGGCTGCATGGATGCTCCTGTAGTCGCTTTGCTAGCGACGCCATGGTCTGGGCTTACGAGAAGTTCTGGACATCATCGGCAGGCATCCTTGAAAGCTGAGCAGCGCAGGTGGAAAGCCACAGAAGTCGGACTTCGTGCATCGGATGTGCAGTACATTACAAGCTGTGTGGAGTCTTGTGCATTGAGTGATGAGCAAAAGAGGTTTTTTGATCTGTGGAGGAAGAATGGGACTTGGCCAAATCAGCATCAAGCCACCATTGGGGCTGTGCTACTGCGCAAACCAAAAGGTTTTCAACACATGGGCTTCTTAGATACGCAAGAGAAAGCTGCGTTGTGGCACTCTTGGGGCTGCCCCGCCATGCATCAACAGAATCCGCAGTGGTTGCTGTTTGATGTAGCTGACAGCTTGTGCTTCAATCGAGAGCTAGATCACAGAGCATTTGCAACAAATCTGAAGATTGCAGAGCAACGGACATCGTGGAGTGCACGTTTGTCGCCAGAAGCTGCACAGGAACTTGGGACCATGCTATGCTTGGATGGCCGCTCTTTCAGTGAACATTTCGATGCGTGGGGTGTGTCTGTTGAGCAGCGTGAGTTTCCTGTCTTTACCGCTCTTGGTCCAGTTGTTTACTTGTTTGCTCATGGTAAATGGCATACATTGGCCGATCTCCCACGCTGCACAGCCAAGCTTCTTCGACAACCACGAGGCCGCCCGTAGTACAGTCAGGTATGTAGAGGTAACAGGTAGGACAGGCTAGACATTTCAGTCATTTCAGAAATTAGCATCCAATCGAATCAAACCTTTGATGCTGCTACCGTATGGGGCCGCGCGCCGGGCTCTCTTGCCTGCGAGCATGGTTTCATTTGCGGTCGGGGCACACCTTCCTTCCTGACTGGGGCCTGGGAACTTGAAGAATCCTGCCTGCCTAGTCATTCTGCTCATTGAGTTGCTCAGTTGTTCAGCCTGACAGCCTGAACTTAGTTGGAGATCCACTTTACCCGCCCAGGCGGCCCAGGCGCACACACGCAAAAAGGCGAAACCTTGAAGCCTTGAAGTCTTGAAGACTTGAAGCCTCAAAGACTGTAGACTACGAGCATCCAAGCACCACTGCCCGTCCACGCCAAAACCTACAAGTCCGAGACACCAAGCAATCAAGCAAAACCCTAAACCAACAAGGAAACTACATGCGGAAGCTGATTCAAGACTTTAAAGGACACTTTGCAGGCGCTGTAGGGACACTGTAGGGAGGTATCGTGCAAGCCGTGTGACAACGGCTTCGCTGCGCAGGTGACTTCTTGGTGCCAGGTTTTGCGGCCCTCTATGCTTCGGCTGACCGTTTGGCCGTTCAGCATCTTGCTCTTCGACGCGCAGATGTTGGCCCAGTTCCAATCAGCCTGCTCCTGAATGTGCGTGATTCACTGGCGCAATTTCGGCAGAAGCTGCAGGACCAGGATTGTTTTGCAGAATCATCGTTTACTCTTGATGCCCAGATCATGCAACTTGATGCGCTGCACTGTTCTTTGACGTCTGACAGATGCCCCTTCTTCCAGAAGCCAGCAGGAGGAAGGTATTCCTCGAAAGTCATCGTCACGGCAGTGCAGTCATGTTGCTTGTTGCGTGATGCTGGTGATCTCGAGAAGCAGATGAAGCATTCCATCCAGCTCATTTTGCCAGACCAGGCCTCAGAGCTCTTGCAGGCAATTGATCGCGGCTTGTTAAAGGCCCCCAGCCCTTCAGCTGTAAGCCGTTGGCGGCTTGCTGTAGACACTGGCTTTATGTATGTGATGCGTCGACTGGTGTCAGATGCAGATGCTGCTGGCTTTGCTGTAAGGTGCGTCTTGGCAGACAGCTCACCACAACGCAAATTCGACTGGCTTCTGACGGAAACACACACCCTAGCTCCTTCAGAGGTTGTTCGTTGGTTGCAGAGTGTGTGGGCTTTGGCAAACACACGCACTCGGCTGTTCAGATTGCTAGCTGCCTGTGACGATGCAATTCATGGACAGGATATCAAACAGTTGCAAGAGGACGTGAGACTTTTGCAGCATCAGCGGACTGCTGCACAGAAAGAACTTGAGGAGTGTGCAGGACCCTTTGGCCAACCGGCTGTAGATGTGCATTTGTGCCCTCCGACGGCACAGGGCAGTAGGCGCGCGCAGCTGATTCACAAGGTGCACGCCCTTCTGCACACGCTGAGGCTCGAGATTGGAAGCTGGTCGAAGGTGGTCAAGTTTTTGCACACTGTGCGTGCTGTCACGACGGATTACGGCACAGAGAGTGGTCTGGCAGATGTCCGTGAAATAAACATTTCTGCATTGTTTCCATGGACTGTTGATGCTCTTGATTTTGATGAAATGCAGCATGAAGATTTGGGTGTGCGTGATCAAGCAGCACCTGCCGAATGCCCGGGACCCGGATTGGAGATGCGAGGGGATCAGTTGTTTCTCCTGAAGCTTTTTCCTTTGGCGTTGCAGTGTCCTGGTGCCGTGCATGTGCTCCACCAGTCAGTCGCAGAGTTAACCTCGTCTTTTTCGAAGTATGGTGATTGGTTTTATCCAGGCCTACAAGCTGTCACACATGTCTTTGGGAAAAAACACAACAGAGACCGGTTCATTGCAGAAAAGCTTCGTGGCTCCGAAGCAAGCGATCTTGAAACAGCGGTGAGAGATTTGGAGTTGAACTTGCACGAAGGACGTTGGGGAACGATGGTGAACACATGCAAATCTTTGCTATCTGTGCGCCTAGTGTTTGCTTACTGGACTCCAGATGTCATCAGCCAGGACCCGCCAGGCCCGAATGCATCACAAGCGGACAAAGACGACTACACTTCCTTCTGTAACATGAGAGATTCAATGACAGAGTCTGTTCGTGACGCTTCTTGGTGGGAATATCTGTGCATGATCCTACGCCTTTCCCGGGTCGTCGACCATCTGGAGCACTGGTTTGAAGCTTGTCCCTGTCACTTCAAGAAAGTCCCTGAGTCCTCCCTCGCAGGAAATCGGATTTTCAACACCAGGTACGATTGTCCCATGGCAGGTCGTCGCGGACCTGAGTTAGCCGCCGGGGCTCTGGATGTAATCCTGCGTGACAACTTCGAGGCGTAACGAACTCACTTGCTCATGGCTTGCTCTTCGTTGCAACGTGAAGACGCAGACAAGATTTGCCATGACTTTTCTGCTGGGCAAGCAAAACTCGAGCAATTCCTGGTTTTGAAATTTTCCTTTTGGGCAGCGCTTCCCCATAAACTTTGTGTGCTCGGACATCATGTTGAGGCGGAAGCACGCTTGGGGCTGAAAGCTGCCAAAGACATGTTTGAAGAACATCCAAGAAGTGACCAGCATCATGCACTTACGGAGCATTTCTTCAGAGGGCCTCTTGCTGCACACATTGATGCTTTCATCGCCGGGCGTCTGGCCAGATCGGACTCCCAGGAGTTGTTGCGTGAAGCCGCTGCATGTGCTTTTGTGTCTTGTGTTGAGCGAAGCATCGAAGCTCGGCACGCGCTTTTGAAGTCGAAGACCGAACTGATGAAACGCATATCGCCTGCCTCCTTCTCGCTGGCGATTAGATCACATGAGTTCCATAGGCGATGCCTCAACAATGCAGAGATGCTTTCTGAGTGGCAGCACCACGTCCTCAGATTGAAAAGATGTTCCAAGCATGGGTATCCTTATGTAGTCGACATGCTCGGGTTTGCCAGCCACCCGGAAATCCAGCGCTCGCGGAGCATGTTTCAGAGGATCAGACTGCGCGACGCGGCCAATGTCATATATCATTGTGATTTGGAGACACAGTACGATCGACAGGCTGCAGCAGGCTCAACAATGCGGCAGCCTGGCTATAGGGACAACCCTGATAGTGCTGCTAAGCTTCGGAAGCTGGTTTCCAGCCAATCCACTGATGAGGGCAAGCAGAGTGCCATGTTGCGGGTGGTCATGCACGAACATTTCTGTCACAAATGCCAGGAGGGGGAAATCTATTCCCTCACAGGCCAAGTGCCGCCAGCTAGATTGCTACAGGATGCTCTTGTGCCCAAGCCGAAGCGCCGTGCTCCGGAATCGCTGCAGGAAGTTGTGCATCCGCAGGCAGATGTGCTGATGTTTCAAGAACCTGACCCGGCAGAGGACCCTTCGACAACAGCTGCAGTGCCTGAGCCTTCGCAGTCGTTGGAGATCGATCCCGTTCCATCTGATGCCACCCCTGTTCTTTTTGTCCAGGCCGGGTTTTCGGTAGCCATGCGTTTAGGGCAGAGAGAGAGCCAGAGACCATTACGAAGTTACGGACATGTGTGTGCACACATGCAGCGGCTGCCCAGAGATTGAGCGAAAAACCGAGACAGAGAGGGAGAGAGAAGCAAAGAGAGAGAGGGAGAGCGAAGCAGAGAGAGAACTTCTCGGCCTGTGCGCACGTGTCTTCAAGTGACTTTGTTTGTGTCTGTGCCTGACTCTATTCTCTCTCTCTCTCTCTCTCTGTCTCTCTTTCTCTCTTTCTTTCTCTCTCCGTCTCTCTCTCTCTCTCTCTCTCTCTCTCTCTCTCTCTCTCTCTCTCTCTCTCTCTCTCTCTCTCTCTCTCTCTCTCTCTCTCTCTCTCTCTCTCTCTCTCTCTCTCTCTCTCTCTCTCTCTCTCTCCCTCTCTCTCTCTCTCTCTCTCTCTCTCTCTCTCTCTCTCTCTCTCTCTCTCTCTCTCTCGTTGGTCGACTGCGGACAGAATCCGTCCATAGGCTTTTGCAAGGCCGATTCCTAGGATGCTCGCTCTCAGGGGTGTTTGTGTCGACCAAGCATGCGGACAGAATCTTTTTCCGGGTGTGTGTGTGTGTGTGAGCCGGTGTGGATATCTTTGTATCCTCATTCTGCCCTCGTGACATCGTACCCAGTATCCAGTGCGCAAAGCGGCAGTCTGAATTCGTGTTAATTTTGCAGTCATGTGCGCTAGTAACACTAGTACATCTCTTATCGGTCCTTGTAGGCCTTAAAGCCAGTGCTCCATGTGTGGCACCGCAGGTCGTCAAGACAAATCTGGCCAAGCAGAAGCGGGTGAAATATGCCGATGCCTTCACCCGCCAGCTTGGCCATTTGGATGTGGCTGTCTGTGTGCATCCGGCATCTTCGGCAAGTGGGGGCGACAACATTCTCCGATCTGCGTCAGTAGAATTGATGCCGCAGAGGAATGCAGTCGGTCGTGTGCACGTTCAGCTTTTTGATGCTCCGCAGGTTAAGACGATACCTGAGGCGATGGAAGCTGTGACGGTGTGGTCACGATCAGCAGTTCAGACTGAATATGCGCAATTGTTTCTGCCAGGATTTTCGGATCACCTCCGTCCGGTAGCAGGTGCCTTGCCATCAGAGATGGCTCGTGCAGGTGCGATAAAGGACGGTCCGCGGGAAACTGCGTACCATATCTCGCATGATTTTGACAACATGTTGGTCTGATACATGAGGTGTTCAACAATGATGACCAAAGTGCATGGCTCTTAGACGTGGCTGCGGTTGCAAACTGCAAACCGACAATGAACTTGGAGGCTCCGAGGAAATTCTTTTCTGTGCCCGATGGACCACCTGCTTTGACGTGGAGCAGGATGGAGTGCCTCAGCTACCTTCATGTCCATGGCTGGCAGATGCACATGCTTTCCACTGCGGATGAGAAAGGGGCTGTTTTGCCTCTGGATCTGAATTTCCGAACATCAGATGACAAAATGATCTGTGTTTTCAAAGGGAACCTGTTGCAGCGTTATCTCCACTGTCTTTGCTATGCAGATGCTGAGCTTCCTTTTCCTGGGCATGTTCAGACGATAGACCACTTCGGGACGCATACGTATTTTGGGAAGATTCTGGGTTTGGAAGCTAAACGGCGACAGCAAAGCCGGCCGGCAATTGCAGATGCCGACGGAAATCCTGCTTTGGCAGCTGTGCCAGCTGATTTGTTTCGCAACCCACAGGAAATGGAGCCGGGGACCACGGCACCAGAGGATGTGGAAAGCCTTCCACTTTCACATGATCCTGAGCCTGACGACGACAACGACCATGATGACCAGCTACGTCTTGACAATGACGATGACGACGCTGATTCTGTGCTGGCCGATTTGGAACGTGCCATGCAGCCAGACATTGCCACAGATGTTGAGACTGCTGAGGGAGGCGGCCATTCTGATGCCGCTGCCTGGCAAACACAGGTTTGAGTGCTTGTCATGCTGTTGATATGCATTATGCAATGTGTGCTGGCTGCGCAAGCATGATGTCAGTTGTTCGGATTTGTGTAGCCTTAGCCACGCATCGTGCATCCGAGGGAGGCGTGGGTGATGTGGAATTCGATTATGATTTCGGGCCTCCTGCTGATTGGCTGGCCTCTCCGGAGCTATCGCCATCTGGTTCATCTGGTGTCACTAAGGCTTCAAGTTCAGGCAGCTCGTCATCTTCTGAGTCTGAGTCAGACTCTTCTGGCTCTTCTGATGAGGACCCTACTGCTGCCGTTGGGGAGAGGGCAGCAGCAGCAGCAGAGGTGGCGGAGCCAGGGCCAGAGCGAGCTTCCAGGCGCAGGGGCAGGCCAGCAGAACCGGCCCTGCCCGATCTGAATGTGAAGCGCCATCGCAGAGATGAAACGTTCGAGTGGCGCAATTTCCGATTTACTTTTCGGCCTGGCACAGATGCTCGCAAACCGGGTTATATGGCATTATGCAGGTTTCATTCTGCTGGAGAAAGTACGAAGTGCACAAGAACGGCAACCTGGAATGACGAGTCAGGGAGGGCTGCTACTGTCAGGAGACTTAAGACTTGGTGCGTCAGAGCAGGCGATTATGATGACCGCCGACAGCACCAGGCACATGTCACAGCAGAGGTGCTAAGCGATGATGCTTTGGAGGCAGCCGAGCTTCCGCCATTGCCTGCTGCTGGAGATTGAGCCAGTGATTGCTTACTTCGTCATAGTGCAAACACTTGCAGCTTCAAGTCATCGGTGCATGCTTGGCACTAAAACATTTGAGCCTCCTGTTGTGTGGCTTCTTGCTCGGAGCCGTGGTGCTGCATGTTCAGAGTTTCAGACCACTTTTGCTGTCATGTCCGAAGCCGGAAGCAAGCAACATGCTATGAGTCAGTACTGTGTCGCATCGCATTGAAACATGAACATGTCTGTTTGTTCTTGCGCGGAAGGGCTTAGTTTTTTAGATCACGGCCACGCCGCTAGACTGCAGGCTATCTTCGTCGTCAGCGCTAGGTCGGCTTTTGGTCGTGGGATGGGCTGTTGGTCCAATGTCTTATAAAGGCAAACTCCAGGCTCCAGTCTTGATGTTCGGTCGTGATGCTATATAGAATCTCTTGAACCCCTGTCCGGCTGTCAACTGACTGCTCATGTGTTCGTGTCCTATAGATGTACAGTGCGTCTCTGTGTTGGTGTTGGCCCTCTTTGCAGGTGCTGCAGGCTGCAGGTGCTAATCGAAGGATCACGCGGTGCTGGGTCGTTGAAGGCGTTCGTTGTTGGTTCAAAGCAATTAACCGTGTTCTTGGGTTGTTTGTGGTGGGCAGCTGTTGCTGATTCAGCCGAGCCAAGCTTATCCTGTGTCTTTCTAAGTGAATTGCCGAGTGAATTGCTGAGTTGTGCTGGTCTCCACAGAGTTCCCTTGCTTGCCGCCGATTCCGCCGCCGATGCCGCCCAAGTCGCCCAAGTTCGGCGGATCCACCTGGATTCCGCCGCAAACGTACCAGTCGGAACAGATTTCCGGGATTACACCGATTTCTTCTGCTGTGCTGCTTTGCATCAATTTCTTGCAAAATGCAGAAGAAGGCCCCAGGAAGCACCGGACCCCCCCCGCACACTTCCGCACACTTCCGCACGCTTCCGCACGCTTCCGCACGGACACCGCCCCGCACACCGGCCCGCCCGCACACTTCCGCACACTTCCGCACGCTTCCGCACGCTTCCGCACGGACACCGCCCCGCACGCAGGACCGCCCGCACACTTCCGCACACTTCCGCACGCTTCCGCACGCTTCCGCACGGACACCGCCCCGCACGCAGGACCGCCCGCACACTTCCGCACACTTCCGCACGCTTCCGCACGACAGCCCCGCACACTTCCGCACTCTTCCGCACGCTTCCGCACGCTTGCGCACGCTCCTGCCTGGACCCCTCCGGCCCCTCCGCCCGGGCACACCGCCGGCTGCCGACACCGCCCCACGCAGACCCCACTCACCAAGCATGCATCATGAGCATCAGCTGCCAGGCTGGGCCCCGGCTGGGCCAGCCCGACAATTCCAACAGTATCAACAAATCTTGGCCGACTTTGGCGGAGATCCAAGCCAATCGTCCGGTTGCGCGCAGTTTTACCTAAGGCTTTGCGCCTAGCTCCCCCAAATCCTGATCCGAATCCAGGGCCTCAAGAAAGGGTTGGAATTCACCAAATATGCGTACAGCCCCTCCTGGAAGCCTTGCACTGCACTTAGCTCCAGCCTACCCCAAATCCTGATTTCCAACCCCCCCAAAACGGGGCCTCTTCACCAAATCCCCAGCCACAGTGTGTAAGTGTGTACATCCCCACCCCTACACTAAACCGTACACGTCCCAGACCGTTTCCGCTCCCTCCATTCGAACATGCATCCAAGTGCCGGGGCCGAGTGGAGTCTTAACACACATTGGATCATTGAGACAATCGTTGAGACGATGAGTCAACACTAACACAGTAGAATAGCAATGGCAACCGTTACCGTTACAGTCATATAAAGCATGTTGCTTCGCTGCTCACTAGTGTGCGTCTTTGTCTATGTCTGAGTCTGTCTGACTTGAAGTCCAGTCAAGTCAAGTCAGTCAAGTCCGTGGGCCGTGGGCCGTGGGGATTCCGTGGTCCGTGGCACAACATGTGACATGTGTGGTGCTTCTTGTGAACTTCTTGTCACTCTAAAACCCAATTGCTCCAAACCCAAACCAAGCCCGAAGAAGTCACCAGAAGTCCACCCATCCCAAGTTGGATTGACTTTTGCAAGTCTGCCTGTAGTTCCAGTGTGCTGCGATTGAAGCCAACTTGACATGGATCTCATGGCTGCTCTGACAGCCAGCCAAATTCTTTTGGAAAGGTGCAGCTGTTGCAGGATTCAAATCCGGGCCTGACGGGCCCTAGCACTCAGTAGATCAGTGCAGGCAACTCGAGCAAGCATCCAGGTTCTTGTGTTCTAGCCTGATAATCACTGCCCGACACTCGACACTGCTTGATGTGTGCAGGTTTCGATGTCACGTTGTTGAGCATGTTGGCAAGTGTACACATCTGTAAACAAGATCTTCATTCTGCGCGTGGATGCACTGTTTCATGCGCGTGTCTGTGTCCTGAGCAATCAAGACCTCATGAAGAAGAGACCTGCGAGTCAGTCTGCGAGCCGTGCGAGTGCGGCTTCAGCTTCAGGGCCTGCCGAAGTGCCGGTGCCTTCAGCGCCGGCCGAAGTGCCTGCGCCTTCAGTAACCTCAGTGCCGGCCGGAGTGCCTGCGTCGCTCCTGAAGCGTGCTAGATCTCAGCGTCCGTCGCAATTTCAGGCGCCGACAGATAGCCGCATTTTCGGGAACCTCGACAGCTCTGACGATGATGATTTGATTCTTCCAGCTTCTTGGAGCTCCACGAAGACTTCGAAGGCACGTAGTGTCGATTCTTTCAAGCAAGCAGTTATCACTCGGATGTTGCACTTGGCACTTGCCTCAACTTTGTGTTTATCGCATTCTACGATGTCAGCCCAGCTTGTCCGAAGTATGCAGCGGGCGCCATAGGCCACCGACGCACACATTTGCGGCCTTTGCTTGTCATGTTCGATGCACCAGATTCCGGCGATGGGCTGGGGATGGACGCTCCTCCTGAGCAGCCGGTAAAGGCCGAGCCGACCGAGCCGGTCGAATCCCCTGTGAAAGGCTCCCCAGGTCTCGGGCTCGTGGCTGATCTTTCTCCAGCCAAAGAGAAGGAGAATGATGTTGCGGATGAAAGTATGGGGGTTGAATCATCTTCGGCATCTGCTGGTGTGTTGCCCGCGCCGGGCGGTTCGGCCGGCACTCCTACGTGTCCTCTGTGCAATCTCAGGACAGCTGCCAACAAGTCGAAGTGGTGCAGCGTGTGCAAAGCAGACGTGCAAGCCGCGCGTCGCGAGTCGCAGGACAAGGGCGAAGGCGAATGGTTCCGCAACCTGCTTCGCAGCGGCGGGGAGCCGCTGCAAGACTTCATGCACGAGTATGTCAAAATGAACGGGTCCGCGAGAAGAAAATATTCACAACGCGTCAAGTTTGACTTCTTGAAGTACAAGGAGGCTCGTCGGATCCAGACCAGCTACAAACTTGGCTACAAGGCGCGAGTGTTGCCTGCTGCATAGTACTGACAGTACCGAACGAATTCTGTATTCTGTATGGAAAGATTGCAAGCGAGTCCTGACGAGCCTTCAAGTTCGTAGCACGGCAGGAGACAGGCTTTTTGCACGGTAGCACTTTAGGTGCTGCCAATTCCGAAAGCGACATGTGACATGTTTGGCAAACCGTTTCGGCAATCCTGAAAGGAGGCTGGTGTGGGCTGGCACACCGCAAACCCTGAAAGTAATGACCCCTCACCGAAACTGGCCATCTAAAACTGCAGGTGCGCGCGCGCGCGCGCGCGCGCGCGCCCCCCTCCCCCCAGCTCCACGCACCGCCGCTGAAAGTAATGACCCCCTCACCGAAATTGACCATCTAAAACTGCAGGTGCGCGCGCGCGCCCCCCTCCCCCCAGCTCCACGCACCGCCGCTGAAAGTAATGACCCCCTCACCGAAATTGGCAATCTAAAACTGCAGGGGCACGCTCGCAAGATATGTTACAAACCCCAACCTCGAACCGGAGATGCTGGCGGCAGCCAGCATGTGGATGTTGAGGATGTGCTTTGAAGTAGAGTCAGAGCCGAGCGAGTGGCATGATTGAGATATGTGTTGTGTCCAACGTAAAACAGGTGCTATGTGAGGTCTGTGAGGAGTAGTTGTGTGTTTTGTTATGTGTGTTCTCCTTCGTGTGCTCAACAACTTCTCGCTGCTTGTGACACGTGAGTCTGTGGGTCACTCTGAGTCATGGGAGGCCGTCTTTATGGCGAAGGCCCGGGCGGTCAACCACTGGGTTGAGTGGCTCAACATGGATCGGAAGCAAGCCCTGGATAAATGGGATACGGAGGTGGCTGCTGCCAAGGTGACGAACCAAAACGGACCCGTTGGGTCACCTCTTCAGATCCCTGTCAAACTGGATGATTTTATCATCGTGGAAGATGCGGTTGTGGACGAAAAAATCAAAGAGAAAGAATTCAAGAGACAGAAGTTCACTGAGGAGGTGGAGGGGCTAATGGATGAAGGTCTGCTTGGCAGAGCAGGCAGCGAGGAGGACATCGAGAAGTTCGGTTTGGCTAGGATGGACAACCCAGACATGGTCTCTAGCTTGTTCGGTCGTCCCAACAAGATTGCTGTTGTCAATGAGCCCGCTGCCGAAGCAGAGAAGGAGCCCAAGGAGAAGGAGAATCGGAAGTCTTTTGATGCAGCTACAGAGAAGCTGGCGTTGCAAAACAAGTTGAACCAGATGCTCGACAAAGAAGCCACTGCTCTTGCGCATGTTGTTGAGGAAGTTGCTGCCTTCATGGATGAGAGTTTCGATGCCGCCTTTGCATCGACCGAGACCCCGCTCAACGAGCTGGCGGCAATGAAACTGCTGCGTGCCAGGCGGTTCGTTGCTCGGGCTTTGCTTGGAAGTTACGCTCCAGGCAGAGCGCAGACGGATGATCCTGCGAAAGGGCAAGAGGATGCCGATCAGTATGAGGCCGTCTTGAAATGCAACCCGGAGGCAGAGCTGCCGGAGTCGTTCTTGCAGATGCAGCCTTTGCTGCACATCTCCCAGAAGCTTGGCACTTCGTTGAAGACTTTGGCGACACCCGCTGAAAGGAAGAGCATCGAGACTGACTTTAAGCCTGTGGTCAACATCATATCGCTCATGCGGACATCCCTCAAATCTGCGCTAGACAAGACGAAAAAGTTCAGCAAAGATCGCCTCGCCCGCGTGGAGCGGGTGAAGCGCCAGCAAGACCAGCAGGCAGTGAAGGCAATAGATAAAGAAAAGAAGAAGAGAGAGCAGGAGGCTCAGAAGATCAACAAAGCTGCGGAAAAGCAGGGGCGAGTTGACAACATCTTTGGCATCGATTTGCTGAAACTCGGCATCCGTGCACTTGCGCATCACACGCTCGAGAAGGCGGAGGATGTCAAAGGCCTGAACTTCAGCAAGCCCTTCCTGCTGAATGCCGAGTCCCCTGCTCTCTCCCAGATCCAGGCCGCTTGCCAGGACCAACAAATCAAGACATCCATGGACAGCTTTTACAACGGCTTCCCAGGAAGTGCGGCTTCCTTGAAAGGGAGCAAGCGGTTTACTGCTTTGATCAAGGATACTGCACCTCTACGTGCCAAGATCTTGGAGAACTTGGAGATCCCAGTGCGGCCGCCTCCTCGCATCTCGGCTTGGTCCTAATTGGCTCTGATATGCATGCTTGCAGATTGCGGTGTTCAACACACCTCGCGTGAGTGTGAGCGCCGTGCTGCTGATTCAAGTGAAACTTCCGTGACTTGGCAGGTGATGCAGATTCCACGATGGTGACTGCGCTGCAGGGTGTTTACTCTTGGGCCTACGGAGAAGAGATGCTGTCGACCGGCAGCTTTGAGGCTTCCCAGCTGCCAACGATTCGGATTCAAACCCAAGGACATCGCTGGCTAATATTCGTCTCTCTCGATAGTTTGGTCAGCTACATTCGCAGCTGCAGGCGAGGAGCTCCCGTCGCGCATGCAGATGTGATTGAGTGTATGCAGAGTATGCAACCCCACACCATGGCGGCTTTCCTCAGCATGCATCCGGATGCTGTGCAACATGGCCTCGTGACGAAGGGTAGCATAACTTTTCTGCCGGCAGCCTGGCTGGTGGCTGAGAAGGCCGGGGTCTGGGGCTCTTGTTCTGTGAACGCTTTGTTGCGGTCTGTTCTCATGTGGCCCGAGTTAGTCGCCTTCGTGCGGCAGGTCATCAACATGCGGTGCGCCTTCGGCCTCCGGGTCCAGTTCTTGCCTGACTTGGATGCCTCAGACAAGAACATGGAGGTGCTTGCGACTTGGTCTTCGAGTGCGGCGAGCTTGGGTGGTCTCTACAAGCAGAAGCACTCCTCCGACGTGAAGAAGGCCGAAGCTCAGTAACAGTGTGCACGATGTTAGCTGCTAGCTGCTTGATAAGCTACTACAGTTACAGTTTGAGCTGTGCCTCATGATCGTGCGAGTCCTGTGTGTGCTGCGTGGTCTCTCTGAGTTCTCTGTCAGGAAGCCGCGAAGACGGCTGCGACAGGCGCTGAAGCAGAGAGGAAGCTGGAGGAAGAGGCCAAAGCACAGGTGGTGGAAGAGCAAAGGCAAGCTGAAGCAGAGAGGAAGCGTTTGGATTACCGTACTGGTCCAGGCCGCTTGATGACCATTGCCAAACCGTTTCATGTACTTAGCCCGCGCTGTCCACATGCTACTTATCCGTGGTCTGGTGGCGACCGTGTAATCTTGATTGCCTTCCATACCAGATCCACTGACAGGTTGTCTACGGGCCAACGGATTTTTTTTGAAGGACTTGGGCTTCCAGCTACAAGGGTCAGGGCGACCCGTCGTGGCACGAGCCGTGGCCGAGGAACCGGTGGCGAGCGATGCGGAGTGAGGCGTGGCACACAGGTGAGACCGGAGGGCTCTTGTATGAGTCTTCCGCGCTCACTCCGACCCCCCCTACTGCATTGCATGGCGGTTTTTGATGTGAACGATTCCGTCAGGATCACTCTCACGATATGCTCGGGTGGATCTCTTTTCTCTCTGCTACGCTGCAACAGCATTTGTGCTGTCGTACGGTTTGGTATATGTGATCGCATTTATCCCAGCAGTTCTTTTCGGGCCGTTCGCGGTGGGGAGCTGCTGACTTTGTCTATGGAATGGTGCACTATGTGTGCGTCGCTCTGCGTTTATGCCAAGCTTACGCAAAGTGACCGGACATCGTCATAAGTACATGTCTGACCACACGTCCCGTCGCACAGCCTGGACCTCCTTGGCGGCGTGTAAAACGAAACGAAAACCACCGCCACCACTGCCACCTTGTCGTGCCTTAACACGCCCTCCTGTGCCCGTCGCACTGTGCCTTGGGGGACCCAGGGACTCGAGCACCTGATTCAGTGTGAGATGCAGTGTCAAACATCCGAACCAAAATATGATTGAACACGCTTCATCGTTTTGGGTCGACTGTCATTTGGATTGGTCGGCCATGCCATGCTCCTAGACAAGGTAAGGTTCCAGTGGAAGATTGTGATGTCGATGAGGCTTCATGCCAAGGGGCATGTATCGGGGGGAGTGTCTTTCAGACTGTTGTGGGTCATGACAAAGGGAACTGAGGGGAGCTAGCAGCAACACGCTATGTGCAAGTTGGCAAGAGAGAGAGAGAGAGATAGCAAGAGAGAGAGATAGCCGTTTTGGATCAAGCAGCGAGGGCTCAAGCCTGGAGCGCTCCCTATGTGACCCTGTCTCGCTCCGCTGTAGTGGCCCCCAAAACAACCGATACTTTGCTCTGCCTCTTTTTTCCCTCCTCCTCACTCTACCCGACGCATTGCTAAACCGGCACCTCGCAATCCTTGCGCAGTTCGAGCTGGGAGGCCACTTCGGCGAGTACGGTGGCCCTGAAGGCTGGCCCCGATCTCGACCAGCACTCTATCTCGCACACGTCAAACCCCTGACTCTAATTACCTTCTACCAGATCTTGACTAACAGGGTGATCGAGAATAGATGCCATGCCTTCAACTGCACCCCACGGGGAAATCCCCAGGGAACACATGGAATCCTCGGGACACAAGTGCAAAGCCAGGGGGGGAAGCTTCCTCTTCGGGTTCCAAGAAAAAAAATTCAAGCCGGAACAGGAAGACTGCTTGCTCGCCTTTGAGTCCACCCTCAGGCCTTGACTGCAGTACCACACAAGCCGGGGACCCGCAAATGAAGCTGGATGAGGATGATGCCTTTGTTGTCCCGCAGAGACCGCCTACCTCGACCAGATGCCTCCTTGAACAAGCTTTTTGTCAACTGGAAGGTTGGCACAAGAAAACGCGGCAAACACGTGATGAGATCATCAACTTCTCCGTCGATCCACTCCGCCGCAGCCCGCACAAGACAACCAATTGACCTGCCAGCCTGCAACCAACAACGTCACTGACCTCAAGCTCGCCGAAGACATCCTGTCCACCCGCGTGCTCCCGAGTACGGCCGCCAACAACACAGACCTGGACGAATCGGGTTTGGACCAAAATCCAGAAGCTTGTCCAATTGGTGCCGCGACTGGACCTGCGCCTGGCACATCCTCCTTCTCAGACGAGCCTGTGTGCATAAAAGAAACAATGCCATACTGGCAGCTACTGGCACGTAGTGCCGCCTGCAGCTCTGCCCAATCCGCCGCTGGAGCCATCCAAAGTTCTCTCCAAATATCTGCATCGTCTCTAGCGAGGGCTTCATCCATATTTTGTGTACGGATTCGCGGCTTGACTCTCTCCTTTCCGTGGTTAGGGGCGAACCCCTTTTCCTGGTTGACATCTCTCCATAATGAGGGATGCTTTGCTCCCACACGCGCGGGCAGGGGAGCGATCCCCAGCCCGTAACTTCACCATGTTGCCGATTCTATGTGGGGGGCGCTGACACGCGCGGGGTTGGGGGTAACTCCCCCTCCTTACCCTTCGGATACAGAAGAAAAGAAACAGGGAGAGAGGAGATGGAGTCTGCATCTGAGGATTTCGACAGCCGGATCTCTTGGCAGGATCCCAATGGCAGAGAGTCACCCGCACACTGCCAGAGGGTTTGTACTTGGAATCCCGGCTGTAATGGCTTTGCTTGGAGCAGCTGGGGATGCTTCTTGAAGCGGCTTGGTCTTGATTGTGGCGTGATTTCCGACTTGGATCTTGGATCCTCGAAACGTTATAAGTTATAAGTCCAGTCGAGTGCAGCAGAGGCGGCATGACCTCGTAAAGAAGCCGCAGGCCACAGCTGCTAGCTTGCCTGCCTCAAAGTCGCTTCTCTGCCCACTCTTGTTGTGCATGGCCATGTGCACAATGGAGGCCGGTGTCTATGCAGGGTTCCCTTGCAAAGCAGAGGACCTTTGCGATAATCCGGACCCTTGAATTTGCTTGTTGCTGCACCTAGGCGAGCAGCGTGATTCGGCTCAGGAGCAGCCATACGCATGGCCTCATCAAGAAGTTGAGAAGCACACAATGCCACAACCCAAGGCCTGAAAGTTTCATTACGAGCCCTGCAAGTGTCAGTGACATTTTCGACAGGCATTGCAAGTGGCCCCGGCTATGTCCATGTACTGCACCATGGTGATTTTGCCGTACTCCTACGAGGCCACACGTCTGACCAAGCACTGCACCCGCAGCCTGGAACTTTGCAGATTGACTTGGCCTTGATGCAATACCAGCGTCTCAGCTGTTTGAGCTTGGCCACGGAAGTTCCATTCGAATTGTTGCGCACCCAGGAACTACTACAGCATCTTTCAATGTGATCTTTGGGGTGTGCCTGCCTCAAGATCGCAGTGCTGTTCATGTAGCCCTGGCATCGCTTGAACGTGCTCAGGTGTACAGCAGCCAGCGCTTGGATCTGGCCCCTGGGCTGGTGACGCGGATCATGAACACGTCGCAGGTCGGCCCTGCCAGCTCGTGCCTGGAGGAGGAACCTCCCAAAGAAGAAAAAACAACCGAGCTCTCGCCACATACATCTTTCTCACCTTCCTCAAGCCTTCTCACCTGTTATAGTGTGCTTCAACCAATGGTCCTTTTGACATGTCGAAAGTTACGAAGATGCTTCGCCGATGTCCCGGCACACCCTGGCAGCTTCTCATCTTAGTACTCCTTCACCATCGAGGGAGCTATCCAACTTCTTGTCAATGCTTGCCTTTTTTACATCGGTACGGAACCGCAAACGGAAGAATACAAGATGAAAGCACACCGACCGAACCCCGAGTAATCCTGAGCATCAAGCCTCCGCCACCCCAAACGCACCACGGCTGGTTCTGTCACGATGCAACACCGAGCTACTGGAGGCAGGAAGCAGAACATCCAGCAGCGTGGGGCAGTGCTACCCAGATGTCCATGAACCCCTCGAAAGCCTTTTGCACAGTGAGGGCAACCTCGAGCATGCAGCCGCCGTTCCACCGGGCAGCAATGGCCAGCGTGTACCCCCCTTCGTTGCTAGTACCAGATTGCTGAAAGTTTTCCACCGGTCAACACATCTACAGCCCATACCTTGGTGGGCACATGTGCTCGTGCCTACGGTGTTCTCGTTGCCTCGAAAACGAGGTGTTGGAGGTTCACGATTCCGAGCACTTGTTCTTGTTTGCCCCTGCTTTGCATACTTGTTGTGTCATGTCCTCGGATAGCTGTTTTGATATCCGTCCCTCACACGTTGATACCACATACCGCTCCGATTCAACAGCTTCATCGCTGCACCCGTCAGATATCAACAAGAGCGCTGAGAGGTCGCAGAGAAAGGCGGTCAGTGGGGCACCGCCCTGAACACCGAGCCCCTGGCCTGGTGATTATTTTGTGGCAGCAAGTTTCTTGGTTTTAGCCCTCGTGCCGAACGACAGACAGAGGTAAGCACAAGGGGTGAGGGAGGCCTGGATGGTAGGGGTTGCTGAGAACCAGTCATGCTTTTTCATTCTCGTGCTCATCTTTCGAAGAGCTACCTGTTTTGGGGCCTCCATCCATGCTCTGAAACCTTGAGATCGACGCAAATTGGGAAGCCAACAGCAAAGCCCAGCCTACAAGCTATCCGAGAGAAGGATGCAAACACCGGTGCGTGCTGGTCGTTTACGCACTGACACGGGAGCATGTGGCCCATGCAGCATCCTTCAGCAGGTTGATTGTTAAACCTGTTGAATGACGAGTTGTGGGCTGCAGATTGGCCCACCTGAAACCTTACCTGGCCATGAATGTGAGGACACGTGGGATGTTTTAGCAGTCTCATGTCGCTGATCCAAGGCCGTTCCTTGCGTTTTGGAAGGCAGTGATTCAAGACGGCGACTACTTGAAGGCACGACAAATAGCTTCTGCTTCTGTTGGTCCTTGTACACAGGCTGGTGCGAATCTCGCCTCAGGCCCGATGGTTCATCAAAGTCGATCCAGACACCGTGTGGTTTCCAGCTCGGCTCATCCCGATTCTGCAGCAACAAGAGGCGCAGAACCTGACCCAGGAGAGTCCAACCTTTGAAGCTTTTGTTTGCAGAGCTGCGCATGCTGCCGCTGTCGCCAAACCACTGCCCTCTATTTCCGGCATGCGTGAGCACTTGCATGCCGGCTGCCACTCGTGAGCCTGTGTTCCTTGCATAGACGCCGGGTCAGGAGCCTGGAGTCTATCTCAACAACTGTCCCCAGGGCCTGCACGGACCCATTGAGGTGCTGTCACAGGCAGCACTGAGCAGCTTGCTCCAAATGATCACGTTATTTCCGGCCTGGATGTCCTCCCCAGTGGGCTTGCTAGCTGCTGGCCAAGGTACCTTTGCAAGGAGAAGCTCGGCAAAAGAGAAGCTGTCCCATGGGATCGTTGCTCCCGCCCCTTAGGTCCTTAGCTTTTCGGTCACAATCACTGAACGTTTTCTGACTGCCCAGTTGCCATCCACTGCTATTGGTCAATGAACGACTGGGGGAATTGGCAATGGGGAGAGGACATTCATTGAGACCCAACATCTTGTTCTGTTTGCCTGGAATTCGGCTGAAGTCTTGACCCAGATCCCAATGCTGAATGCCCAACTTCACGAAAGCGTGGGAAACCGATGCCAAAGATTGACAGAGTTCAGACGGGAGGACATGTGGCTGGACCAGTGCTTCATGAACATTGGCCATGTGAAGCGAGTGTTTGCTACTTGTCGGGTTTTTCAGAATCAGGTCTTCGAGATTCACTGGCTAGCCTGGCCACTAGACTGTCAGTTGTGGATAAAAAGTCTTTTGGCACGCTAGCTGAACTTTTCGTCTTTGTTGATTTGTTGGTGCTCATGAAGAAGGTGTGCACTTCAGAGCCTGCCTTGGGATTTTGGGTCGGCCGAGGACAAGTTGTTTGCTTGGTAGCTGCAACGAGCGCCTATCCAGTCAGCTTAGGTGCTAAGCCGCTAAGCTGCTAGGGTCTCTGTCTTGGCTATGTAAGGCCGGGCTTGTGTCTTGATCCGTCACCTCACGGCCCGGCAAAGATCTGCAAGCAGTGGATGGGCTTGTGAGCCAACAGCCAAAAAGGGCTTGTGATGGAGAGCTTGAAATTGAGGCCTCTCTTCAAGTCGTCAGAGTCTGGAAAAAGACAAGCTCAGGTGCAGAACCTCCTCGTCGAGGAGAACTGCAACTTGGCAAGTCATGTGTTGTTTCCGTGTCATGTCGCGTGTGAATGAGCCTTCGACTGCCTGCGCAAGGGCACGGTCCACGGTTGCTTCAATAAGCATTCTGGATACAACCTTGGCTCTTAAAATGTCCGGAAACCCGGAAAGCCTCCTTTCTCTCCTCACCCTGAATCGCTCCCACTAAAGCCGGGCATGGATCCGACCAGCAACTCATATTCGTGGTATCTGCGGCTTTCATCCGAGGTGCAAAGTGGCCGGGCTGGCAATCTTGCCCTTCGCAGGGCATAGTTGCCTACCATCCCTTTAAGCAGGCGTCCGGGATGATCAAGTCTTCCAGTATTCACATCGCAGCTTAACCCTGCAGGCTCCAGCATACATAGCCTGCACAGATCCTGGGCAGCACTTTGAGCACAAGAATCGTGAAAGCACAAGATTCCAATCTGTCGCAACATAGTTCCGTTCATGCTAGCAGCATGAGGCCACTGGTATTACCACTTCGACCACGATGAGCACCACCACGATGACGCTGACGACTATGACAAGCACAACCATTACGCACACTGCTGGTCCCAATCCGGTCCAGAATGTCGAGCCTCTTGCCTGCGAAAGATGACGTAAGGAGATACTGGCAATGTCGGTATAGCAAAGACTGGGCAAAGCCAGGGAGTGTCTTGCCGCTCTCAAGCGCTTGATCCTCCTCAGGCACTGGCTTGCTGGACTCTTCCATTGATGCCAATGTTGGAATTTTTTGGTCTGCAGAAGCCTTACAGATGTAAGATGCCCTCTGGTTTCCTGCAGCAATTCAAGAATTAAAGAAAACATTCAGTCCAACGGTTGACGGGTTTTGTGAGCCGTGATGGCTTTGTCTTACGCCCCGGACGCTGAGCTGAGCCGGCTGGATGTGCACCCGGTAGCATGGCCCGCAGCACAAACAAAGCACCGGAGCACGAGCGGTTGCTACCAGGAGAACAGCCAGCTTGTGGGCGCAGCTCGTCGGAACAAGCGGCAAAGAGACAAGACTAGTTTTGCGCCCCGTGCCTCTGTGCACAGGTTCCTCTGAACCCCGAGGGTTCCGGAGGATTGGGCTTTGGATCCAGAGCTACCGCCCTGCGGCCCCGCATGCGAGTAAAAGGAGCTGGACAAGTCGCTACAAATCCGCTTCTTTTCCTTGAGCGGGCTCCTTGTCTTTCCTTCCGAGGCTTGGCGGCGATTGTGTGAAACTCTTCCGTCTGTCGGGAATCCAACCTGAGAGCCGGTGCTTCCCCCGCAGGGCGAGGCGCTGGAGGCGCGCGTTGGCTTTGGCCGCAGAGTTCCGTTTGTCTTCAGGCTTTTGAAGCGTGTGGAGATGGCGAGAGGAAAGGCTTGTAGATTGTTTGGCATTGTTGGGCTGAGAGCAGGCAGAGAAGAAGCGGTGAGCCGAGTTGGCTCTTTCAAGTGCACTTGCAGACTGACAGTCTGCACACCTGAGCAGTAGCATCACGCAATCTAAGGCTCCGGCAAGAGAATCAGGACCTGGAGCAGGCGCAGCCTGCGGCCTGCGGCCTGCCCCTCCTCAATGATTTCCTGGTGCACAACCTCCAGGCCCTGACTGAAGAAAGGCGGAAGAAGAAGCACGACACCTGGGCAACGGGCTGCAGCATGTTCCGTCAGTGCCACACTTTTGCTCTTGTTCATCGGGTTTGTCAACGGCGGATGCCAAAAAGCCGTGCTGAGGGAGCTGCAAGCAGATCTTACTGCAAAGAAGGCCGAGGTGGAGAGCCATGGCCTTAGGTACTTGTGTACTCTGTGTGTACTTGTATGTTGCAGCCGACGTGCACTCGAGGCTCCGCAGCGAAGGCAGGGACAGGGAGGGCTTGCGGCTGCAGTTTTCATGAGAGGGCGCGACCCGACGCTGAAGATCTGGCTCAGAGAGGTTCTATAGAAAGCTCGATAAGAGCATGTGGCAGCCTGTGCTTAGGATGCCTACGCCTAGGCTACGAGCCGGCGACCTCGGGGGCATGTGCGAGGGCAGACCAGGCATGAAGGTGCTGCGTCGTTCAGTCCTTCGGAACGTGAAAGCTGGTGAGCAGAGCCAGCCGAGCATATTCAGGCAGCTGCAATCCCTGCTAGATTCCACATTCTTGCGCCGGCGCTCTTGTGACAGGAAGGGTCCAATGCCAGGAAGATTAAAGCTGTCTGAGGCCTTCGTGTCCTCCCGCACCTGCGAGAAGTACCTCCGAGATCGAGATTCGATAGCAACAGAAAACCCTTTGGGATGCCCAGCGCTGGAACCCTCTGTCCGAACACAGGGCTTCTTGGATCTGGGGACCGGCCCACAGGTGAATGAGTGCCACCTGTTCCACGGCACCAGCATGAAAGCCGCTGGCGAGATATTTGAATCCGGATTTCGTCTGGACTTTGCTGGGCAAAGCACGCAGCAAAGGTTTGGCGCAAAAAGGAAGTGCATGTTTGCGAACGGAATTTACTTGTCCGAGTGTTCCTCCAAGGCTGATGAGTATTCGAAGGAGGGTGCGGTCAGCGCAGTCTCTGTGCGAAGCGTGAGCTCTGTGAAAGGTTTGCGGCTGTTCCCAATGTTGCTTTGCCGTGTAGTTCTTGGAAGAGTTCTGCGGGTGCAGCGCGCTGTTTGTGATGCCGATGACCCGTACGCCCTGTCGAACAAGCTCAAGCACCAGCGCTGCAACTCCCTCGTGGGAGACTTGGAGGTTCAATGCGGAACCTACCGGGAGTTCGTTCTGCCGAGGGTCGAGGGAATTTGCCCGGAGTACCTTCTTCTGTACCGTCGGCTCTATGGCCCTCCGGGGGGGCCCTGGAGCTCGTCGCCATCCGCAGGACGGCGGCGGCCGTTCCGACAAGTCTAAACGCCAGCAGCACGGATGTCACGAAGATTCGGCCCAATCAATGATCGGAGCATGCGGTGTGGTGGTTGGAAATTTTTTCGCCTTGTTGCCGTCTTGGACCGGATAGGCATGCAGTGTTGCAGGCTCGAGAAGCTTTGCAGAAGGCCGCCCAGAGTCAGGAGGCCTTGGGGACGGGTTCTCTCTTTCTCTGAGAACTCGGCATGTGCTGAACTCGTTCTGGTCCTGGGAGGAGCTCGCGCTCGTCCAAGCAGAGGCTCCGGCGGGGCTTGTGGCGGGGGTTGCGGTTTTTTCTTGGCTGCTCTTTAGCATTCGCTGCTCCAGGCTCACTTTAGACTGCTTGGGCTACAGGGAACCATGGTAGTTCATCCTGCTGGAGCCGTCGCCGGCTCTTTGCCGTGCTGGAAGCAGCCATGACAAGGCAAAGCCTGTGCCCAGCCCGTGACCATCGTGACCAGTGCAGTGCCAGGAACATGTCAGGAGGGCGTGACCACGAATTTGACTCAGCTCCGGCTCAAAATTGGAAGCCGGAGTAGCATGGGATGCTTGTGTCAACTCACCCGAAGGGTTGTTGACTGCAATTCCGCGCCAACCCCAGTCCCAGCCAAATCTGCCTACGTTTTCTGCTAAGACTGCTAAGACTGACCGCCGGCACTTGCTGGAGGTCCGTTATGCAAGCAGGTTCTGGTGGCCAGTGAGTTTCTTGGCTCCCACACAACACCTGGTTTGCGGGAAGCTGGGCTCGTCTCGCATCCGAGGAGTAGTGCCGCCTCGATCCAGGAGCTACAATTCTTATGGTCACTGGGACTGGGATTAGTTTCACCAGGACTCAAGATAAGGGAGCAAGATGCCAATGCCAAAACCATGTCTGCAGACCTGGCTGAAATGCCGTCTCAGGTCAAGAATGTGACGGTCTGCCTTCCAAATCAGGTGGAGGGCGATGAGGATACCTGCCTGCGCAGACTTGCAAAATCCTGACATCAGAGAGTGGAAGAGTCAAGTCGGGCGCCGTGTGGGTGGGGTTTCAGGAGAAGGCGAGAAGAGGCGATCTTAGCGACGGCGACAGCGATTCGAACTCGGCAACGACACCTCCTCCGACAACGCCGCGAGAGCCGAAAGGACCCTGCGACATACGGGTGTTTGGTTTGTGATTCGGATAGCCAGCGACATGCTTCCCCTTCGAGCGAGGGGCCTTACTGCCAGACCCATGCAATCAAGCAAGCAAGACCTCCCTCTACCTTCGTAGAGAAAGAAATAGACTTGAAATCGAGAGAGTTTTGGTTGCGCAAATGACAGCGGGTTTCCCCCCGAGCACTCGCTCCACTTGGGGCACCTGAATCTGTGACTCTTGGCCAGGCTCAATCTTTGCCGGGTTTGGCAAGATGTCGATAACGAATCGTGGCAGTGTCTTTGGTGTGCGACTCATGGTTTTTTGTGGAGCGAAAACATGCCCCTACATTCCTGCAGCTCGTTTTGATGCCAGCAGCTTGCGAACAAGGTCGTCGGTGGAGCCTTGGGAGTGTAGCCGAGTCCATCTTTCCAAGTGATCGTCCGCCCCCTATTCACTATAAGCGTCACCAATCATGACCAGCCGGTGCTGTTCGTACGCCGTCTGAGGTCGACACTCCGCAAATTCCACTGCTTCCATTGATGCGAGAAACAGGTCGCTGAGCAGTGAGTCTGATAGCCGACAGCTCTGCAGCCTTGCTCTGCGTGTTCTACACAAGGTTTGAAAAAGGGTTCACCATGGTCGAGGAGGAGGAGCTGGGAATAGCTTTCTGTACTCGCGCAAAGATGCGACGGAAAGAGGAGCCTTGGAGATAATGGTGAAGCTGTTCAATAGGAACAGGATGTTCTGAAGACAGCGTGATCCTTGTGCAAGTTGCCCAAAGCCCAGGAGCGAAATAAAGAGATATTCACGCTGATGCAGTGGATCTGTTCAAAGCTTTCGCCGTCATCTCCACAAAGAAGCACAACGTGGCATGCTGCTTTGTCTGCGCTTGGGAGATGTAGGACTTGGTAGACTGCTGTCTAATGACGAGACCTCAAGCAAGAATAAGAATTTTCCAACTGCACGGCGGCTACCTGTAGAGCCTTCTGGCAGCAACCAAAGTCCCCTGACAGTGCTGTCAACAATCCCTTTTTCGATGTAGCCGAAGGGAGCGGTGCATCGCTGACGAAATGCATCCGAGCCCAACATTTTCGATCGCACAACGAACACCAAGTCGCACACTCTCACACCAACATGTGTGGAGACGCAGCCCTGAAGAACCACACCCATCCAAAGCGAGTACTCTGCACGATCCCTCTTTCCCCCCCGTCCGGTTCCCCAAGTCACGCTTTCGCTCAGATCGAGCGTTTGCGTTGTGGGAATGCCGAAACTGGAGGTCTTTGTGAGCCGGCAGCTGTCCACCCACCTCAGAAGCAGCACTACTGCAAGCAGACTCCGCGCAGCATCTTTTCACGTCAGCCGGACTCTCGTTCAGGCTCTGCCATGATCAGCTTCGTGCTCATCACCTGCATCTTCGCATTGGAGCCAATCTGTGTTAGCAGTGCCTGGCTGAGAGCCGCACCGGGAACGTAGGGTGGCGCTCTCCTCGTTTCGAGTGTGGGTGCATGTTAATGATAGCGGTTAATGTCTTTCTCCAGGCGATCAAGGACCTCTCTTCACTCGCCTGTCGACGGCAGCCTCAGCATTGGATGTGCTTCGTCTGAACTTCCGGCCGACACGAAGTGAAAGATTTCAGTGCAAGAGCCCGATTCTCTTTTACAGTTTCAAGTGGCCTTGCCTGAATGTGCTGAGAGAGACGAAGCTCTGAAACAGCATGCTGCTCAGCACAGGTTGTGGCAACGCTGCACTTCGTGAACTCTTTACTGTATTTGTGCCTTCCCGAGCTGGCGAAACCTGGTTCTACTTCTGCCAGTGTCGAAAACCGTGCTGACAGGTTTGGGTCGATGGCCTTCCATGCTCACTTCTGCTGGTGGGACGAGTCGGCTCTAGGTGGGAGCCGCGAGGTATAGGCTTCATTCAACACAAGACCTTGAAGGCTTTCTGAGTTCTTGCTTCTTAGCTTTTGATTTTGGTTTCCTAGCCTTCTTCTCATCCTAATTGCCCCATGACGCGGCCGTGGGCAAAGCAGTTGCTAAACTGCTAAACGCTGTTCACTCAAGTGTCCTCGAACCAAACGCAGTTTCAACTTCGCGACCGTTGTTGTTGTGGCCCTGCGGCCTTTATGCTTGGCTGGTTTCTGCTTCATGATGTGGTGTAGCTTTTGCAGGCTAGCAGGCAACCGCAGAGCGCAAAGCTAGTTCGAGAGAGGTGTTTTCGACATCACTCCACAGTTCTCTTCCAGGAGGAGGCTCTGAGAGCATGGTTTGCAAGTGAAGAAGCACGGTTTGGTAGGAGAAGCAGTTTGCAGTGCCGACTTGATGCTTTTTGTTTGCTTTCGGCTCAGTCGAAGAAGGCTCGATCTTCGTAGCTTCCTTCGCGTGCGGTAGAGCGCCTTTCGCGCTCTGGAGCACATGGCCGCGCTCCACGAGAGCTCGGCCCCGGAGGAAGATGAATCAAGATATCACGAACAAGTGACGCAAGTTTTCCAGGCCCTGTGCACCTACCTGATTCAGGAGGTCTCTCTGGGCCGGACAGTGCACGTGCCCAACTTAGGTGTTTTCTTCAGCCACTCAGGACCTCCAAGGTCAATGCGCTTCAAGGTCTTAGAGAAGGTCCTTCCTGGGGATTTGCGCTGGGAGGGTCCCGGCCCAAGCATAGGACCCATCTCAAAGGTCAGGCTTGAGAAGATTGCAGGGACAGCTGGGCTGCAGAAGGATGTGGCTGAAGAGATGGTGCAGTCTGTAGTCAAGGAGTTTTGGACGGCCGTGAAGGAGTCGCCAGAGGTGCAGCTGGATCTTCCTGGCATTGGTCAGATCAAGGTAAAGAGCCAGATCATCACCTTTGAACCCTTCGACGTGGACAGCCGCATGTCCAGTAGCCACGTCACGGCAGAGCACCACATGTTTGG